CCAATGGAGGCCATTACTATTTTCATTTGTTTTCCACCAAAAGTTCGCTATGGCACTGCTCAATTTTGAACGAATTGCCTTAGGAAGAAGGAAACACGACATAACATATGTCGGAAGGGCTTGGGCCACTGATTTTATGAGGACCTCTTTGCCTCCTTTAGACAAGAATTTAGCGGACCAAGTATTTAATCTTTTTTGAAGTCTATCTCGAACAAAAGAAAAAACTTGGATTTTGGAGCCATGAATTTGCTCCGGTAATCCCAAGTACGAACCCATACCCCCGTCCTTATAAATGCCCAAGGTCTCTTTAATAATATTCCGGGTACTATTATCAACGTCATGACCAAACATCACTGAGGACTTCGCAGTATTTAACTGTTGTCCCGAAGCCTCGCCATACGTGCGGAGAATTTTGATGATCTCTCCACCTTGAACAGGGTCAGCTTTGCAAAAAAATAAGCTATCGTCCGCAAAAAGGAGATGTGAAGTAGAAGGACTGGCTCGGGAGATTTGAAGACCTTGTATGCGACCATGCCATTCTGCTTCTTTGAGGTTAGCCACCAGAGCTTCGGTACACAAAATAAACAGAAAAGGAGAAATAAGGTCTCCTTGTCGAATTCCCCTCGTCGGTTTAATGGACCCTCTCGGTGCTCCATTCAAAAGAACTTTATAAGAGACTGATGAAATGCAAAAAGAGATCAAATCTACCCATTTCTGAGCGAAGCCCATTTTGAGCATTAGGGCTTGTAAAAAGGACCACTCTACCCGATCGTAAGCTTTACTCATGTCCGTCTTTATAGCCATAAACTTTTTCTTGCATGCCGGATTGGTTCGAAGAGCATGAAAATTTTCTTGCGCTATAAGAATGTTGTCCGTAATAAGTCTTCCCGACACAAAGGCAGATTGAGTCTCGGAAATTAATTCCGGAAGAAGTTTTTTAAGACGGGAGCTAAGGACCTTTGAAATAACTTTGTAACTCACATTACACAAGCTAATTGGTCGGAACTATGTCATATTCCTCGGTCTATCGGTTTTTGGAATCAAACAGATATTTGTCTCATTCAACCGCTTATCGAAAGAGCCTGAAGAATGGAAGTCTTGAACTACTTTTACTAAGTCCGGCCCAGTCAAATCCCAAAACCGTTGGTAGAAAAGGGCTGTCATTCCATCCGGGCCCGGAGTTTTGTCCGGGTTGAGCGAAAAGAGGGCTCGTCTAACTTCCTCAGGAGAAATTTCTTTTATAAGATTCTGGTTCATAGCTTCCGAGATCAAAACTGGCACGTCCCTAAGGGCGGAATGGAAGTCTTGTGGCTCTGAAGTAGTGAAGATATATCTGAAGTAGTCCACCGCTAAACCTTCTATATCCACTTCTCTATCAACCCACATCCCATCTTGGTTTAACAACCCAATGATCTTGTTTTTTGCTCTTCTTTGCTTGGTAATAGCATGGAAGTATTTTGTGTTCTTATCGCCGACTTGGAACCACGTTTCCCTACTCTTTGCCCTCCAAAAGATTTCCTCTTCCCTGTAGGCATCACATAGTTTCCATTTTAGGGCTAACAAATCTTCTGCAGAGATGGCCTCGTCTTCCTGAGCTTGATCAATTTGATTCTGTAAGTCTATAATCAACTTCTCAGAGTTTGTAGAACTCGATTTCTTCCAAATAGAGATAGTTTTTCTACAGCTTGAAACTTTTTGCAAAAGAGGAACACCTTCTTGAGAAGGGAAAGTCCAGCCTTGAATGACCGATTCTTTGAACCCCGGTTTGCCATTCCATCTTTTATCAAAAATAAAATTTTTGACAAACCGGTGAGGACTATTCTGAATTGAAGCTAGGAGGGGTCTATGATCAGAGCCCCATAATTTTAAATACTCCACATTTGTGTGGGAGAAAATTGTGTGCCACTCTTCATTACCCATAGCTCTATCTAACCGCGATTTGATAAGACGACGAACTCTCCGACCCGTAACTCCACAACTACGACGCCCCACCCAGGAGAACAAGTTGCCCTGAGATGGAACCTCGATCATTCCACAATTTTCAATCATACAACGGAAAGGAAGGAACGACGATTCGGACCTACGTTTACCGCCTCTCTTCTCATGATTTCCGGTAATTTCGTTAAAATCACCGATCATAAACCATGGATCAGAACGAGTAATGCCAATACGCGTCAAGCGTTCCCAAACTAATTCTCGGTATTGAACTACCGGATCTCCGTAGACAAATGTAATAAAAACACGGTTTCCATCAATAATAGTCTCAATATCAATCAGCCGATCACTAACAAAAACAAGCTTAACCGGATACTCTTTTGAATACATAAGCGCAAGACCACCACTGTTACCAATAGGCTCAACAGTTTGAAGGGAGTCAAAACCTAAAGATACTTGCATATTTTGAAGGTGCACACGGTCATTTTTAGTCTCTGATAAAAAAAGAAAACCTGGAGAATACAAACGACACATCTCTTCCAGTCGACGGGTAGTAAGTTCTGCACCCGCCCCTTGACAATTCCACGCTAGAATCCTCATATATTATTTCCGGAGGGAGAGTGAAACCCCACCGTACTAATAATTGAAGAAATACTCTCCATCAGAAAGGAGGAATATGTTATAATTCGGATGATACAATTGGACTTTAAAGCCAAGCTTCTTACATGTCGATAAAAAAACCACGTCCAAAAACTAATGGACCAGACCCATAAAATTTTCATTTTGGTGGGACAAAGAGGCTTTAAACCAACAAAAATTTCTAGGCCTAAACAGACCTGAATGGAAACGTAAATGGGCCAAACCCAAACCCGATTTAATCGCAAACCCAAACCCAAACCCGTAGACTTGACTTTTGAAGATGGGAAGACCATACTTTTCGGGACCGAGACGGGTTTCCTAGGGAACCGCGGCTTTGAGGAACCGCCCTTTGAGGTTTGACGCTTGCTCGGGGACCGGCCTTTAACATGCTGAATCTTCTTAGAGGCTAAATTGACCAAAAATGCTGGGCTACATGGGCCTTTACGGATGAACAATTCTTGGGTTCACCCCTAGGGGTGAACCACTTTCATTCACCCCCTCTTAATTATCCAATTAGAATTTGCCATGTCATCTAGTTAAAAAAAATTAAAACAATTATTTTCTAAATAAAACAATAAGATTAAGTCATAACCACTCTTTTATAAACCCAAACCGATATATAATCTCGTTTAATTACAAAATTTAAACCCTAATTCTCTTTTGTAAACCCAAACCGTCATTTAAACTCGTTTAATCGTTTAAAATCTATACCCTAATCATACTTTCTAAACCCAAACCGACACTTAACCTCGTTTAATTGTAAAATCTAAACCCAAACCGATATATAATCTCGTTTAATTACAAAATCTAAACCCTAATTCTCTTTTGTAAACCTAAACCGTCATTTAAACTCGTTTAATCGTTTAAAATCTATACCCTAATCGTACTTTCTAAACCCAAACCGACACTTAACCTCGTTTAATTGTAAAATCTAAACCCGTTTATAAACCCAAACCGATAGTTAAACTCGTTTAATCATAAAATCTAAACCCTAATTCTCTTTTGTAAACCCAAACCGTCATTTAAACTCGTTTAATCGTAAAAAATCTAAACCCTAATTGTACTTTCTAAACCCAAACCGACACTTAACCTCGTTTAATTGTAAAATCTAAATCCGTTTATAAACCCAAACCGATAGTTAAACTCGTTTAATCATAAAATCTAAACCCTAACCCTTTCTAATAAACCTAAACCGATACATAATTTCGTTTTAGTGACAAATTAAATTTTATAATTAAATGAATTATTTTATTATTAATAGGTGGCAGATTTTGATTGGATGAAATAAAGGGGGTGAACATAAGAGGTTCACCCCTAGGGGTGAACCCAAGTATTTTTCTTTACGGATCTGGGCCAAAACTTTCTTTTTGGCCTCCTTCTTCTTGGATTTGGGCCGAACTGAGCCCACAACTCCACTGTTAGCCTCCTTCTGAGGCCCAGACCCATCCATGGACACGATTGAGCTTTTCAGCTTATCGGAAAGCTGCTTCACTTGTGCATAATAGAAGAAAATCTCACCGGAATCCATGGTGGAAACCGAGTGGAAAGAAGAAGAACATGACAGATTCGTGAGAGCCTCATCAAGGAGAGGGTCTTTTTTCTTCCCCGGACTGAGAGGTGAAATTTTTTCTTGAGCCAAGAACATTTTTGACAGTAAAATGTCTAACTTAGCATTTAGCTAGATAGGGACTTCAATTTCAGAATCTAGATTAGAAATAGAGAGGAAGGAAACATATTCATGGCTTAGCATAAAGCTAGAATTGGTCTTCGGCTTCATCAATGGATGAGAGGAGAGAGAAACATAATTTGAGAAAAGAAACTCAAACTGGAGATGAAACCCCACAGATCTACTCCGATTAAGTTCAGATCCAAAGAAGAAAGAAGGATGGGAGAGAAGGAGAGGAAGAGATGAGTTCAAATCTGTTGATGGGAGTCCAGGAACTTCATTGCATCTCCGTCCGAACAAGCCGTCGCGTCTCTCTATTTGTTTCTTCTCTTCAACTTAGGAAGAAGTTGAGACTTGAGAGAGAGATTGGTGTAGGAATTGTCAAAGCCATAAATGGACAACAGACAACCAACTAAGATGGTGTTTGTTGCAGGGGTTGAGAATCTCCGGTAATTCACCGGGAATGTGAAACCAAGGCTTGGTATTCACGAAAAAGCAAACAAAAAGCCATTCTAAAAGGTAAAAAAACCGAGATTTGGTTCCTGATAGAAATGGATTAAGTGACAAGATAGATTTTGACTACACAGATGCAACGAGAAGAGAAGAGGAAGGATTGAGAGTAGGGAAAGTCATCGGACCAGCTTTGAGAGAAGAAGCTCCGGTGAAAAAAGAGGAAAAAGTTTCTGAAAATGAAAAATGGATATCGACTTACGAATAAAAATCATATATAATTAAATTGTTTAAAAATTTTATAACGACAGTGCGGATACGAACGGACGAACCTAGTTTAGTTAACTCGAACAAAACTAAATCGTGAAGGACAGAGACCGAAAACGTCATCGTTTCAGATGAGGAGACACCACCACCGATGTCAAATCGGCTCCGATAGCGAAACCGGATCCGAATCCGATTCCGATACCGACACGGCGATGCGATGCATCTCTTGTCGGGAAGAGTACGTCCCTCGCAACGCTGGAACCTGCAAAGAGTGCTACGTCGAAGCCGGCGAAACTGAGGAAGAACTCAAACGCGAGATCGATGACCTCAAAGCTAAAGTTGCTTTCCTTCGCTTATCTTCTTCTCTCGATCATGGATCCAGCTCAAGCTCTAGATCCTTCACTGATCTTGTTCTCATCGCTTCTCAAGACTCCGCCGGATCTCCTCCTATTCCCGCTCATAAATCCGTTCTGGTTCGTTTCACAATTCAACAACTTAATTTGATTTGAATTTACTTGCAATAATCAAAATTTAGGGTTTGTTACTTGGAACCATTTGGCTAATTGTGAGATTTAGGGTTTGTTCTAGTGTTCTTGAATTAAGAAGATGCAGGAACTATGTTTTAGGAAGAGTAGTGTTTTTGTGTACTTGTGCTTTTAATGATGATATGTGTTGATATGACCGATGATATCTCGCAATTGATCGATTCTAAAATCTCTTTTCTAGATGTTGTTTCTTAGAAAAACTATGTGAATATTGCTGGCCAGGTGAGTCGTTCGCCAGTTTTCAAAGCAATGCTTGAGAATGAGATGGAAGAAAGTCTTAGCGGCACTATCAAGATCAGCGACGTGTCTTATGATGCGCTTCGGACTTTCGTATATTATCTCTACACAGCTGAAGCATGTCTTGATGAGCAAATGGCATGTGATCTTTTGGTCATGTCAGAGAAATACCAAGTGAAACATCTCAAGAGTTATTGTGAGAGGTTTTTGGTAACCAAACTCAATCCGGACAACTCTCTCATGACATATGCCTTTGCCCACCAGCACAACGCAAAACATGTTCTCGATGCTGCTTTGTCGCAGATTGTAGAAAATATGGAAAAACTTACTAAAAGAGAGGAATACATGGAGCTTGTGGAAAAGGATCCTCGTCTTATTGTTGAAATCTATGAAGCCTATCTCTCGAAACAGGTTAACACAGCAGCTGGAGGAACTAGCACAAGCAAAACTGGTTGAAAAAAAAAAGCTTATTGTAGTTCTAAAGTGTACAAGAGGTAAATTCTTGTTTCCCTTCGTTTCGCTTTTAGGTATAGTATGGTTAGGCTCAGCAGAACATGGTTTTGTGAAGCACTAGAAATTTGCGTTACTCAAAATTGTTGCAAACTAGTAGGAAGTTTATTTTATTTCTTCTCCCTGACATTGTTGGGGCAGTGTCTGTGTTTTTTATCTTTTGCGTTGTGGCTTAAATGGAAACGCGGTGAATGGATATACTCACTACCGAGGTTTAGCAGTTCATACTTGATATTGTCAGCTTATGAAGACGTATAGTAATTGAGAAAGCTGTCACATTGTTTAGTTTTGTTAAAACATTAAGAACGCATGGTAGATTTGAAAAGCGGGGATTTGGCGTAGATTCGCCCCGCTTTGTCCATAACCGTCGCCATTGAAAGTAAAATATAGAGGTAGTCCTCCAAATCCTAATCCGCGACTCATACCAATTTTCATTCTCACTTGATCACAACTCTCTGAAGGTAATTCCACTTTGCAATCCTCAAAACATACCTAAGATCTCTAAATCTCCAAGATTACGTGGCGAAACAGAGAAAAGCTTCAAGGTTACCATTCACCATGATAATTTCATCTTTCGTTACTCAAAACTTTTCTTTTCAATTCATTACTGTTTTTTTCATTCATTTTCATCTTATTTCTGTTATTCATTTTAGTGGCCACCAGTTTGAAACCATATATTATTTTTTCTTTTTTCTTCCAATTATAATAAAATCAAAGGAGCTAAAGAAATTAAGAGAGAAGCCAAAGGAGATATTTTCAAATGAAATAAAAGTATCCAAAGCATATGAAACGTTTGAACTCTTTAAATCAAAGGTCGAGGGAACACCCAACTCAATCTTCCGAACCTGAAACCCTAAACCGCTAACTAAAAACTTTAATCAACAATCCTTTGTTTTGTTCCCACTCGCCTTCCCCTCCGCCGCTATATAGAGCTCGGAGGTTAACTTGGTCAGACGGTGAAGAATCATCCGCTTTCCAAGCTTCCAATCATCAATCATCAATCATCAATCATCAATCTTGTGTTTGCCGCCTTCTGCTCACACCTCTGCTTCGAACCCACCGGTTCCTTATGATCATACTGCGAATTCCCCGGCTTGAGACGGCAGCCGTACGCGGTTGAAGACGGCCAATGTCGAATGATCCAAGCTCGAATAACCCACCTTCCATTTCATCATCCGACTCACTGTCATCTTCATAACTGTCATCATGATGACCATAAGCATTATTGTATGGCTCAATCACATAGTCTCCAAATACCATAGCCCCAGGTGTTGACGCCATGACTGTGCTGATTACATCACTCCTCTCCCTCTCAACCTCGAGCTTCTTCCATTTCGCCTCCAGCACAGGGTCTATGGCTCTTGGTTTGGCTCTCGGATGAACCTCCTTAACATGCTTCTTGAGCTGTCTATAGCTTCCATAAAACAAACACTTATCTTTCATGCATGACCTTTTCTTAGAATTCAGATACTTCCGTTCCTTTTCCACAACAGTCCAACCTTTCACCTGACCCCTACAAAGCGGGCACAATAGCTCTGGCGGTTTGTCACTTTTCTCATCCTTTGCATAGGCCTTTTTGTACTGCTCTAGACAATTTGAGAAACGGTTTCCCGTGGCACACATGTAAGGACGGCATCCTTTGTGGTAAGATGAGCAAAGGAGGACGACCGAGTTGTGAGGAACCTCAAGACAGACAGGGCAAGTCACACCCTTCCAAGGTTTTCTTTTCAGAGCCTTACCATATCCCTTTTCCTGGAGTGCTTTGTTTATATCTTTGAGTTTATCAGGATTCCTAGGACAGGGTGGAAACCGAGTGAACGATGCCTGCTCCTTAGTTCTCCCCATCTGCTAATTAAATCCACAACAAAAATGACAATCAGATATATTAAGAAATAGAATTCAATCACAAGACTCTTCTCGAGCAATCAACAATTCATGCAAATTTGCAACTGACAAACACAGAATGTGCATCAACTAATTCATTACAATTTCGTAACCTAAGAGTTTTATGTTTCTGAATGATTCCGGTAAACTGGTGGACTCAGAGGGTATCGTGCAGAAACAGCCTATTTCTCACATCATGCCCTACAAAGACAGTATTAACAGGAAATAACAGAGTCTAGGAGTTTCACACCTTTGATTGTGATCCAAGAACTAACTTTCGGAAGGTTAAAACCGCATAGTGTAATGATATACCACAAGAAGCAGAAACTAATCCAAGAAAATATCTTTAACTGCCCTATGTTTAAAGAAAGGCAAGAATGCTAAAAAAAACAAACTAGAGAACTTTTTTCCATGACAATGGGATAAGCCCAAAAAACACATTTGGATCCCAAGAAGGAACACGGTTCTAAATGATTATTTTGTAAGTGGTGCATCCTTACCTTGCCCTACACATCATCCTACCCAACCCCAACCCATCTTGCCAGCAGCTTCATCGGCGGGAAAACACCCACACTTTTGAGGTTCACGCCGACAACATTGGCTCAAACTCTACAGGATTTTCCTGCCGAGGAACTTCAAACACAGTAAGTTTTCGATAATACCGAACATAACTACATGCATGTGAAGAAAATATATCCACTAGCTATGAAATGCCGTAATACTATGTGTTTCCAATTAAAAGAAGTATAACTTGAACCCAAAATTCATACTTGTTTATAAACAAACTAGTATTAAGTAAACATGAGAATAAAACCACTCTTTGTTCAGTTATTAAAAGTTTAAAACCAACAAATCCAATGATTAGCACGGTAATCTCAACAAAAGAAGAAAATAACATTTCAAGTCTGGAAACAAAACCCAAAATAAAACGAACTCAAGTAATGAAGGTCCTCATATGTCTAGCCCTAAAAAGAATCCCCAAAACCAGACTCGTTACTCCTCCTAAGGGGGAAGTGCTAATTGAGGTCTCTAGACTATTAAAAAGCGTGCCTAAAGCGTGCCTAAAGCATGCCTAGGCGCAAGGCAAGGTGAGGCGATAGTAATATCGCCTAGGATCTCTGAAGCAAAGCGAGATCCTGAAAGCGACTTAAAGCGTTCGCTTTTCACTGCCTTGCCTTGACGCGGCAGGCGTGCTTTTTACTGCCTTTATGATTTAAGGCAACTTTTATGTGTTTTTGTTTAATTTTAGGGTTTTAAAACTTAGTTACACGCTAAACCTACTCATTTGTGCCGTCTAACCTTGAAAAAAGAAAATAAATAATGAAGAGTTTGAGGTTGATGAGTTTGATTATGGTGATGATGAGATGGGATTTTAGAGTTTCGAATTTGATTTAAGACAATTGTGGCTTTTTTAGATTTTGTTGGCTTTATCTTTAGACTTTTCTTGCTTTGAGTTTAGTTTAAGATTTAAAACTATGTTGGATTTCACTCTTCTAAGGTGTTTTTGTTTCCTATGAAGGTTTTCATTACAGTTTAAGAGTTAACAACTAATTTTGCTGTTTTAGACGTTGTTTTAAGTTTGAGTCGCCTCACATCTGAAAGGCGACCGAGGCGCTCGCCTTAGGCGCAAGGCGATATCAAAGGGTCTTTACGCCTTCGGTCGCCTTTTGCCTTTTAAAACACTATGAACTCGACATGAAATCAACATCTAAACAGTCATAGACCAGAATCAGATTTCTAGAACAAATCATTAAGACCGTAAGAAAAATGTTTTTAAGCATGAGCAGTTGTCATATAAGTCATCAAAACGATGTCCAAATCCAAAGCATTAGAATGATATATAGTCCAATGGACCAAGGTGCTATCCAAATCCAAACATCAAGAATATAAATCAAACTCCAAAACATAAAAGTGCTAATCCAAATTCCAAGTTCTGACACTGCACACGCTTAAGTTCCCTTTGAGACATCTAAGTGTTCATTCATTTTAATATTTTAAGTAATTTGGATCCAACACATCCATTAAACCAACACATCCATTAAACCATAAAACAAAATGTCCATCACATACAAACCTATTTTCATGTCTATATTGTATAATTCAAAATCTTAAACGGGCTAAAAAAACACTCACCAACGAAAGATCCGATGGAACTAAATTACCCGCTAGTTTCAAGATTCTTAAAGATCAGATTCCTACGCTTAACTATCAACTTTTCTCTGCTTAGCCCACCACCAATTCTCTCTATACATAATTAAAAACAACTACTTTATAATCTCATCCACTTAATATCACTAATTTAGTTAAACCAAATGACATACAATTACCGGTGAAACAATTTACTATACCAAATTCAACCTTTCTAGGCTAATAATTCATTAAACCAAAGATGCTACTCACAGGACCTCTAAACAAAAGGTGCTACTAGAGCTAAGAAACATGAAAGTGACGATTTTTATCGCCAAGATCGAAAACATTTTCAATTTTCAATAGTATGTATTCTTAATCCAGTGTGGTGAAAACAAAAATCCCACAAGCGAAGCATTCTTCAAACATATAAACAAGCACGAAAGAGAGTAGACTTTTACAAAGTTTTGATTTTGACAAATTTGCATACAGAGTCAAGAAAAAGTCGAGATCTTTGTGTAACCAAAAGCATAAGAACCAATAAGAACAAAATAACAACAGAAATGATAAAGCGAGAAACCCTAGAACACAAAATCGTGAACCCTAAATCTCAGAACAAAGATCGAATTCTCAAGATTTAACTTCAGTAGAAAACAGATCGACATCCTAGGAGATAGAATTGATTATAAAATGGAGCTTACCAGGCGATGAGGGTGGTTTTGGTTATGGAGATTGCGGAGGAGACGGGCCTTAAGCGGCGGTCTCAGCGGCGGCGATAAATTTAACCTGACGGCGAGAGATCGATGTTTGTTTTATATTAAGGCCTAATTTGTTTGGACGCTTTTTGAAGTTGAGATCTATTGTTTTGATGGTGTTTGAAATATTTTAGGCCCATTTCTTATTTGCTAAAGCCCGTAGGCCCGATTAAATAGTGTTAGTCAACCGATGAATTTAGTTTTTTTTCTTCTCCAAGAGTAAATTTTATTCAATAAACCCAACATAGATCTCAATGCCCCGAAACACTTTCATTTTTATGTCCCTCATTGTTTAATGAAGATCAACACATACATAAAGGTTCTAAGAGTTGGAGATGGAACTGTGTTGATGTCTAAAGGCAAAGGAGACATTGAGGTTGTGACCAAGAAAGGCAAGAGATTAATAAAGGTTGTGTTCCTTGTACCAAAACTTGGTAAGAATCTTTTAAGTGTTCACAAATGATTACAAACGAATAACAAGTGAAGTTCAAAGAGAAAAAGTGCATCATACATGATCCATTGGGAAGAAAGATTGGCGAAGTTCTGACGGCTAATAAGAGTTTTTATAAGATGGTCGTCTAATGAAAAAAATGCAATGTGGCATAGAAGGCTTGGTCACTTGGGATACTCAAATATAAGTATGATGCAGTCAAAGGAAATGGTAACTGGTCTACCAAAACTTAAAGTAGATAGAGAAAGATGTGAGAGCTGCATTCTAAGCAAGCACTGCCGTGATCCGTTTCCAAAGCAATCTGAGCCAAGAGCAAAAGAAAAGTTGGAGCTGTTCCACAGTGACGTTTGTGGACCAATGCAAAACTCATCTCTTAGTGGTAGCATGTACTTACTTACCTTCATTGATGATGCTACAAGAATGGTGTAGGTATATTTCTTAAAGGCAAAATCAGGGGTTTTTGCTACTTTCAAAAAAGTCAAATACCTTGTTGAAAACCAAAGCGGCTGCAAAATAAAGAGGATTAGATCAGATAGAGGATCTATATGGAGAGTTCACAAGGTTTTTGGAAGAAAATGGTATTGAACGTCAGTTGGCAACAGCTTATACTCCTCAGCAAAATGGAGTGTAGAGAGAAGAAACAAAATCTTGGTGGAGATGGCAAGAGCCATGATTAAAGTTAAAGACATGCCTCTAAACTTTTGGGCCGAAGTAGTTCACACTGCAGCCAACATTCAATACAGAACAGCAACCAGAGCCCTTAAGAGCAAGACCCCACTTGAAGCATGGAATGACACTAACCATCCTGAAAGTGTTTAGATGTGTGTGTTATGTCCATATACCTGATGAAAAGCGGAAGAAGTGGGATGAAAAGTCTAAGAAAGATATTTTTGTTGGTTACAGCTCTCAGGTCTCAAAGCAAAGGATACAGGGCAACTTTGCTAGAAGAAAACAAGATTGTCATTTTTGAAGAAGGAAGCAAATGGGATTGGAAAACCAAGGAAGTGGTAAAGCACTATGATCCCTCCACAGAAATTGATGTCAGAAAAGAAGAAAGTCCTAGAGATGAAGAATCCAGTTCAAGCGATGATGATTCAAATGAAGGAAGAACTACACATCCACTGAACAACCCTGAAGAATACTCAAGTTAGACACCCAAAAAGATTAGATCACTTGTGATATACTCCTTACTGCTCCTTTTGCTGACATTGAGTACTCGGCTATAACAGAAGGATGTTAAACGGGTCTTGAGGAACCAAATCTGTTTGAAGAAAGGAGTCAAAATCCTTTCGAATAACTTTTATAAATCCATCAATTGCAATAATTAACTTTTTATGGGGAACTATAGTACTCCCTCCATATCTTTATCTAATAAATCACAAGTCAATTCTAAAAAAACTGCAACCTTCTCCATCTGACACCTGTCTTAAGTCCCAATTTTAACACTTTCAGATTTCTAAATTTCTAAACAATTAAACTTTGTTATTCGACAAAAAAAAAGAAAAAAACTCCTTGCAACTGTTTCCCCTCTTTACCCCCCCCCCCACGATCTCAATATCTCCACTCTGCCTCTCTTCTTCAACGATAGAGCAACAACATTATTCCATACAAAAAGCTTCAAAATCTCTTTCTTTTCTGATTCCTTGCTCTTTCCTGCAACTTTTATCGGATAAAATTTTTTAGTCGCTACATGCTCTGATCTTAGGGTTTCATCAATCCCATGTCTCTTCAAATAATCTAATCAAATCTTCTACTTCTTTTTCATCTTCTTCTTCTCATCAATCCAAAACTTAACAGTGCCTCCCTCTCTCTCTCTCTAGCCAATCATAACTACGCTACGATTACATGGTAATCAACATTTTTTAGTTTGTGATATCACGTTTCTTTATCCTTATTCAAATCTCTGTTTCAATTTCACTTCATTGCTGCATTAGATATCTATTTGCCATCTCATATGAATTGTTAATGGTTCTTATAATATGATCTGGTTTCTATAGAGTTGAGATAATGTTTCACGCTTCTCTGCCTCTTCTTCGTTGAATCAGGAGCTTTTGCGTCGGTGAGTGAGATTCTTACAATACCCTTCATGTCTCAGAGTACATAACTTGGTGGCCTGCGTTTTAGTTATTAAACGATGTAAAGCATCTTTGTGTCTAAATTTCGGTCACCATTCTCTTATAAGTTTACATGATTATATTGTTTTTGCAAATCCCATGTATATTCATTTCCACATTCTCCTTCTAAGTTTTGATTGGAATTATCTTATGATTCTTTTTCTCTTCAGACGGACAAGTTAAGAAGAAAACAAAATAGCCCTTATGGTTGGTGACGATGAACCTTTACTTACATCTCTTTTGTCATTTTCTTTTGTAAGAAATCTGAATTTTCTATGCATTAATGTAAATAGCAATTATTGTAACGGTTGAAAGTAACTTTTCATGAAAAATAAACAATTACTTCAATTCATTTATTATTCTCCGTTGATTTGCTTCAACTAAAGTAATATTCGTGAGTTCTTTCGATTAGATGAAACTAAGCCCATTATACGTTATATGATTACATCTTGATTTTCATTTTGTCAATCTAATAACATGTGACAGAGTTTTATCTTTTAAGTTTTAATTTGTAAAGAAAAAAATTAGTTGGTTTATCTATAAATTTGATTAAAGTTTTGCCCCGTACGGAGTACGGGCTTAATACTAGTAACTATATATAAGTGATATTTTTGAAGATTTTTTTTTATTATATTTTAAGTGATCTTTCAAATTTCAATTATCTATGAAAAAATTTAATGTTTTTAATTTTTTTTTGACCAGTTACATTTTAAAGTATATTTTTTTTATTGACTGAATTCATTTTACATAATAGTGTTTTTACATAAAAGGTGGTAAGGGCCTTCTCACAAATGGATGGTTCAGCAGTTCAGCTGCAGTTGGCCGCTCTTCCGGGCTCACTGTGAGACACTTAAGTATGAAATGGCGAGCGTCTTGTGATAAAGTATAAGGTACTTCCGGAAGCGTACCCCTTCCGATCCTAAACAGGGCTTGAACCTGCACGTTTGCACAAATTTTGACTTTAACTCATAAAATCCCATAAAACAAAAGACAGTTCAAATGTCATTTAAGATTATGAAATCTTGAAAACTTACGGGTTCTAGATCGAAGTAGGGGATCTGCCCAGTATACATTTCCAGTACAGTGCACCCAAGGCTCCAAATATCAGCTGGATATCCATAATCATCACTATCCTTCTGGTTAATAACCTGACAAAATTATTAAGTTCTATTTAGAAACAAACGTACAAGTATAGCCTCAAGTACAATGAAAGTGAAATGAATCCACATATTTTAGAAACAGTTCAAGATCTAACATTTCTATTCATGTTTTTCTAACTGCATATCAGTGGGAAAGTTTCCCAAAAAATTACCTCTGGAGCCATCCAAAATGGAGTTCCCTTGCAGGACTTAATGTCGTTGAACTTTGACACCTAAATAGCAAAATGACAAATGTATCAAGTAAGGGGATAAACGATGGACCAAGTAATTACTTAAGAGCAAAAGCTATAAACATCTATTAGTGGATAAGAACCTTTGCCAATCCAAAATCTGCAAGTTTGACGGCGCCATTAGCGTCCACCAATATATTGGCACATTTGATGTCCCTTTGTTGCATAAGATGATAATGTAGGAAATTAGAGGCTTGGGAATAACAGCTGTGCCAAGAGAGTTTACTAGTCTAACCTGTGAATAAAACCTTTATCGTGGAGATATTTCAAACCGTCAAGAATCTGTCTTGTGTACAAGGAAACTACAGAGTCCCGAAGCTGGTATCTTTGGTAGAGTTTTAGAAGGGACCCTTGGGTTACAAGCTCAAGAAAAATGTACAAATTTGACCCGTCCTGAAAACAGCGAAATGAGTTATTAATTTTACAACGAAATGCTTAGGCAACTGCAACTGAGAACAAGAAATAGAGAACAGGGCCATACCTTGGCTGTGCCACGATATCGCACAATATTCTGATGCTGAAGCTGACTAAGTAGTGCAATCTCCTGTAGAAAACGAAAAATGTGGCAAAGGTAAGGTGGACTAGCAACCTACTTTTGACTGATTAATGAGATAATGCTACAATTAAAAAAAAAAAAAGTGATAAATGCTGCGGATAATAGACCCATGTCTACGAAACTTCCATACCCCCTCAAGTTGTTGTATGCATTCTTGTGCCTGACATCCCTGATCAATAAGTGAAACTTCCTTGACAGCAAAGAACTCTCCATCTCTACATTTAACATAAACATCTATTAGCCAAACGCATAATGGAAAACTCGCTTGGCACCGCATTTTTCAACTGACTACCTTAGTATTCCTCATCGAGTGTCTACTTTTTTAAAACAATGTGCAACTAAGTATCTGATTTTTAGTTTAACAAACATAAGCAACCAGTAAGCCTTACGCTGAAATGCCTTCATACACAGAGCCAAATGATCCTCGTCCCAGAAGTTGACCCTTCTGCCAAGACGTTATGATAGAACCTCCATCAGGATAGATGGGCGAAGTATTTGATACTGTGCTTGACGAGTCACCCTCGTTTGTAGTGAATGAGCATGCCTCGTCAGCCGTATCCCCCAACTGGATAAACCTAGCTCCCGTCTCTTCCGTTTCCACTTCCTCTTCCTTAGCTTCTGCTTCATCACAGCCATTCTCGGAAGAAGAAGAAGAGGAACTCGGCCGCTTAACTGTTTCACTTGGAGCGAAATGTGTAAGGAAATCCCAAGAAGATCCCCGAAGATCAATAGGAGGTCGTTTCATCGCCGGAGGAGGCTTAAGTACTGGTGGTCTTACCCCCTTAATACCACCACCAACAGCCACTACATCATTGGGAACAAGATACCCTTTCGACTTCACCAAAATAGTCGGTGTTCGTTCAAAACCACGCCTATTCTCTACAATTCCTGGCGTACCACCATAAACTACTACTCTATCCACAGGAGTGCTTAAATTCCCAATCTCACTCAACTCGGAACGCATCGCCTCATTAATGTCCCGATTCGTTGAATTAGAAGCAACAACAACACCACTAGGACCTGCTTCACTCAAATGCTGAGCCTGAACCTTGTGACTATCTGAAAACGAACGCTTTTTACAAGCTTCTAAAGAAATCGCCAAATCGTCAGGACCAAAAACCCCAGGAGAAAGATTAATCCGATCAATTTCTCCTTCAACTCCTTGGATTCGAAAACTAATACGATCCCGGGAACTAGGACCTGCTTCACTTAAGTCCATTTCTCGGAAACTGATGCGATCCGGGAACTCCAAAGAGGGTGTCAAGAAGGAAGAAGTGGAGTCGGAATCAGCGAATGAACTAGAAGAAGACATGATATTATGATGCTGAAGCTGACTAAGTATTGCAATCTCCTATAGGAAATGAAAAATGTTGCAATGAGATATGGTAGTGAAATATGGTTATTAGAATAAGTTTATTTTCCTTAAGTTGATAATTCCAAATTGCTATATTTCCTCATTAGATAAGCTCAAACTCATGTATAAATACTTTGGCCTTAGAGCCTAATAACAATCAAGAATTCTCTTCCATTCAATTTGACATGGTATCAGAGCTAAAACAATAAACCCTAATTTTTTTTTTTACCTCTCTTTTACTCTCGCCGTCTCTCACCCTCGTGAGATTTGGTTTTCTTCTTCATCAAGCAATCATCATTGAAGCTTGCCCTCGCAAGCATACTCACGCATCATGGTTTCTCCTCCTCAAACTCCATCATCAAAACCTTCCACCAAAAGAATCTCTGCTTACGATCTCTCTTCTAGTGACAATCCTGGAGCTGTGATCTCCCATCCTCTTCTCAACGGCACCAATTATGATGATTGGGCCATCAATCTCCGTATGGCGTTAAGCTCTCGCAAAAAATTCGGCTTCATCGATGGGACTATTCCCAAACCAGCTAACAACTCCACAACTCTTGAAGATTGGGTGGCTAATAACCATCTCCTTGTTGGTTGGATCAAAGCAACGATCGAACCACGTCTCCGTTCATCAATCTCCAACCGTGAAGTGGCCAAGGATCTTTGGGACATCATTAAGAAGCGTTTCTCATTAAAGAGTGGTGCTCGCCGTCAACAGCTTCGGAACGCCCTCGCGTCATGTAAGCAAAACGGATCCACCATTGATGATTATTTTGGTCGCTTAACCAAAATTTGGGACAGCATCGCCGAGTGCACACCAATCAAACGGTGTACATGCGGTAAGTGCGAATGTGATCTCACCTCTGCGCAAGATATGGAACAAGATACTCAACGGGTTCATGACTTTCTGGCCGGTCTTGATGATTCTGTACATGGAGCTATCCGTTCTCAACTATGCGCTATGACTCCTCTTCCTGATCTTGATAGCGTTTACCAGACACTTGTGCAAAACGAGACTCTTCACACCAACACTATCTCCAACTCAACAAAAGAAACTAACGTGATGAGTTTTGTCGCACAAAGCTTCTCTGGTTCACGATCTCCTGCTCCAGTCAACAAGTTTGATCCCTCGTTTGTACCTGGTAACAAAGATCCAAATCGACATTGCACTGCTTGTGGACGCACAGGTCATGAAGCTAGCGCATGTTTCAAGGTCGTTGGATATCCGGAATGGTGGGGCGATCGGCCTCGCTCTAAACCTCTTTCTCGGTCCTCTTTTCCATCTTCTGCTGGTCGTGGAAGAGGAACATCATCTTCTTATCGTGCTAACAGTACAAGTATTGTTGCTGCAAACTCTGTCACTCCACAACAGACTTCTCCACTCACAGATGCCGACCGGTTAGGTCTCACTGACCTCACAGATGATCAATGGAAACGTATTAAGGAGATTGTGGGTACGTGTTCAACAACACCTCTCAATGGTATGTCTTCCACTCCCTCTTGGATTTTGGATACAGGTGCAACGCACCATATGTCGGGTCGTTTTGACTTAATGGTCGACATGAAAGACATACCTCCGATCTCAGTTCTTCTCCCTGCTGGAGCTAATGCTTATGCAACAAAACAAGGGACTATTTGGCTCACTCCCCGTCTCTCTCTCCTTAATGTTTACTTTGTTGAAGGATTTCACTCCAATTTAATCTCACTTGGTCAACTAGTGTCTGATAATCACTTAGTTGGTCAACTTACTGAGCGTCTATTGATTTTACAGGACCGCACTTCGAGGATGCTGATTGGCGCAGGTGAAAGAGAGGGAGAGGGGCTGTACCGGTTTTTCAATGTTGATGATGTTGTCGCATGTCAGACTAACGTGGATACAAACGCGGTTCTTTGGCACAAACGTCTCGGTCATCCATCAGTTCAAGTCACCGGTTTACTTCCCGACGTCCAAACTTTATCTAAGCTTAGTAGGGATTTTCTTGCTTCCAGTTGTGATATTTGCTTTCAAGCTAAACAAACTCGATTGTCTTTTCCAGAAAGTTCTTCTAATGCAAAGAATGCTTTTGATTTGATTCATTGCGATTTATGGGGTCCATATCGTACCACTGCGTTTTGTGGAAATCGTTATTTCCTGACCCTTATTGATGATTATTCAAGAGCAGTATGACTTTATCTTCTCCCTGATAAGTCGCAAGTCTCTCGCACCTTACAAGAATTTTTTGCTCTCATTGAAAATCAATTCTCCACGACGATTAAAATGGTTCGGTCAGATAATGGGACAGAGTTTCTTGCACTTACACGATATTTTCAAACTCGAGGAATAATACATGAGACGTCTTGTGTTCATACTCCGCAGCAGAATGGACGCGTTGAACGCAAGCATCGTCACATTCTAAATGTTGCCCGTGCTTTGCGTTTTCAAGCTCATCTCCCTATTGAGTTTTGGGGAGAATGCGTCCTCACTGCTTCGTATCTCATCAACCGCACACCCTCAGCTCTTCTTCAAAACAAAACTCCATTTGAAAAGTTATATGGTCGATCGCCATCTTATCAACATCTTCGAATTTTTGGGTGCCTTGCTTATGCATATAATCCGCACACAAAAGGTGACAAATTTGAATCTCGGAGTAGGCGTTGTGTGTTTCTAGGTTATCCTTATGGTAAAAAGGGATGGAAGCTTTATGATCTTGAACAAGAAAAATTTTTTGTCTCTCGCGACGTTCGTTTTTGTGAGACAGAATTTCCTTATCTCCAACAGCCGTCATTACCTGCATCTTCTCCTATTTTGCCTACAGCTCCATCAAATCATGTTGAGGATAATGATATTCAAGAGGAATCTTCTTCTGTTTCATCACCGATTTTATCCCCACAAGCTACACAAACACCGGATAACTCAGATTCTGAAAATTCACCGCCTACGACTCCATCTCCGAGTCCGTCTCCTACTCCGACCTTAACTCCATCACCACCTCCGCCTACTGCTCCTGCTCCTCCTCCACTTGGTCTTGGACAACGACCAAAAAATCGTCCTCCGTACCTTAACGACTACATCGTCGGTAACGTCTCTCTCGCTCCTCCCTCTCTCTCTTCACCTGCATCTCAGCCACAGCATTCCTCAGGTACGGTTTATCCTATTTCACTCTATGACTCTTATGATCATTTTTCACAAAGTCATATCTGTTATCTTGTTGCTCTAATGGCTGCTATTGAGCCAACAACGTTTAAAGATGCTATGGAGATGGAAGAATGGAAAGAGGCTATGCGTTTTGAAATTCAAGCTTTAGAGCTGAACAAAACATGGACATTGGAAGAGCTACCTCCTGGGAAGAAAGCTTTAGGTTGTAAATGGGTGTATCGGATCAAACAAAAGTCTGACGGTACTCTTGAAAGATACAAAGCGCGGCTTGTTGCTCTTGGAAACAATCAGAAAGAAGGTCTTGATTATAACGACACATTTGCTCCTGTTGCTAAAATGACAACGGTTCGTCTCTTTCTTGATATTGCTGCTAAACAAAATCATGAAGTTCACCAAATGGATGTTCACAACGCGTTTCTCCACGGTGATCTTCAAGAAGAAATTTATATGAAACTTCCTCCCGGTTTTTCTAAGCCTGGTGATCATCGTGTTTGTCGTTTACGGAAGTCTCTCTATGGTCTAAAGCAAGCTCCAAGATGTTGGTTTTCGAAGCTTGCTGATTCACTTCGAACGTATGGGTTTCGTCAAGCTAAGTCTGATTATTCTCTTTTTGTTTACAAGAAAGATGATGTCATTCTCCGAATCTTGGTTTATGTCGACGATCTCATTATATCTTGTAACTCATCTACGGCTCTTGCTACTTTCAAGACTTATCTTTCAACGTGTTTCCACATGAAAGATCTTGGTGCTCTCAAATATTTTCTTGGATTAGAGGTAGCTAGAAATTCTTCCGGGTTCTATCTCTGTCAAAGGAAGTATGCTAGTGAAATTGTTGCAGAAGCAGGTCTTCTTGGTTGTCAACCTGCAGGCTCTCCTATGGATCAAAATCACCAACTCAGTCTTTCTACTAGCCCGCTTCTTCCCGAACCAGAATCATATCGCCGTCTTGTTGGCCGGTTAATTTATTTGATTGCCACTCGACCTGATCTGACTTATGCTGTTCACATTCTTTCACGACATATGCATTCACCTCGTGAAGACCATTGGTCTGCAGCTCTCAAAGTGGTCCGCTATTTAAAAGGGACGCTGGGTCAAGGAATTTTGCTCGACGCGACGTCTTCTCTTCATGTAACCGGCTGGTGTGATTCGGACTGGGGTTCATGTCGTTTATCTCGTCGTTCTGTTACAGGCTGGATAGTGCAACTTGGAGCCTCGCCCATTTCATGGAAAACAAAGAAGCAAGACACTGTTTCTCGTTCTTCTGCTGAAGCAGAATATCGTGCCATGGCAGCCATCACACAAGAGCTTCTATGGTTTCGTTCTATACTCAAGGAATTTGATCTACCTCATCAAGGACCTATGACTATTAAATGTGATAGCAAGGCTGCTATTCATATTAGTTCTAATCCCGTTTTTCATGAACGCACCAAACACATTGAAATTGATCTACATTTTGTGCGTGATGAAATTGTCAAGGGTGTTGTTCGACCTGTTCATGTTTCTACCTACGATCAGCTAGCGGACATTCTTACTAAAGCTCTCGGCCGCAAGGAATTTGACGCTTTCTTGGACAAGTTGGGCGTTTTTAATCTCCACGCTCCAACTTGAGGGAGGGTATTAGAATAAGTTTATTTTCCTTAAGTTGATAATTCCAAATTGCTATATTTCCTCATTAGATAAGCTCAAACTCATGTATAAATACTTTGGCCTTAGAGCCTAATAACAATCAAGAATTCTCTTCCATTCAATTTGACAATGGTAGTCAATGAGAGAGAGAGAGAATAAATATAGAAGTGGAAATCTCCAAGCAATTCGCAGTGACACTGACACTGCTAGAAAAATAGAAGAAGCAAACAAAAGAAGTTGACGACGACTTATGAAACAAGCATTGAATTTTCGTTTACGTATTCAATAGTTATAAAATCTGAATAATAATTGGAAATTGTATTCTAGAAAAATTGTTATAGATTTTTGTATTATTTTTGTGGGAGACTTGGTAAAGTGCATGGATATCAGAATCAGTGTATTATCCCTCTTCAAAGCAATGAGAATTTGTTCGTTCATAGAACAAACTAAGATAGAATTATTATTTTTTTTTTACTTTTATGTTAATTTTTATTATTTTCTCCTTTCTTTGATTTTATTTTTTCGTGTTTATGATTTTTTAAAATAATTCATATATCATATAATTTATTTTAGTAATTTTAATTTAAAAATTTGACTTATCTCAGTATTGTAATTAATTCTTTAGCTCAGTATATATAAATTTAAACTGGATTTGTAATTTTAATTATTTTGATAAAAATAAATTAATAAATATTTAGCATCATATTGGGATTTTCCTCAGTGCCTTCATTACTTTGATTTAAGAGTTGAAATCTAAATGCATAGGGCCATAGGTCAGCCCTTTAAAAAACTCATCGACTGCAAGTAAGCAAACAAACTTTTCAACGGGGCATATATTGTAAGAAACAAGTTGAATCATATATACACTTCAATGAAAGTGGCTTTGCCCAAAATATCAAAGAAAATGTTGACCTTACTTTTTTAATTGAAACAACAGATTTCTTCACCGTACAATAATTAAGAGATAATATAGGTTATGTTTTTGCACCCAAAAAAAAGAGTTTTGTATTGTGAAATTATATTGTATGTATGCATGTATAATTAATAGATAAATATATGAGAAATATTGAAGATAAAATCCATCGAGACATGGGATGTGTACACAGTTGCAACAAGCAGAAACTATATAAGAACCAACTATAATTACACATTACATGATATGGGTAATGGGTTACATGCATACACTATATAATTTAACAAAACCAAACTAACCTATACACCCAAAACTCTAGTTCAACTATGGCTCTTCTTATACATTACATGATATGAGATACATGCATACACTATAATTTAACAAACACTAAACAAACCTATACCGTATACACACAAAACTCTAATTCAATTAAGGCTCTTCAGTTTTAGAATAAACCCAACAAACGACCAATGAATGAGACAGAAACTACCTGACGATATGTCTCCAGCAAGTTTAGCTCTTGCTGCGCAACCCAAACCGCAAGTGTGTCGAAGAATCATATCTCGTGTCTCACCTAATAGTTTCTATGGGGTCTAATCTGTCATAAATCTTCTGGTTACCCCTGCTTTTATACATTAAGATATCAATGTTAGAATATAGCTTTTGATTCTAATATATTTTTCATTATCACGAAACCAGAAGCTTCACCTATAGAGGCAATCTACTAAAATTAGACTCATCTACAGATAAGCGGAGATGCTGATCCTGAGCTCGAGGATGGTAAGGGCCTTCTCACAAATGGATGGTTCAGCAGCTCAGCTGCAGTTGGCCGCTCTTCGGGGTTCACTTTGAGACATGTAACTATGAAATCCTGAGCGTCTAGCGATAGATTATCAGGTATGTCTGGAAGCGTACCCCTTTCGATCCTAATCTGGACTTCAACCTGCACGTTTCCACAAATTCTGACTTTATCTCAGAAAATCCCATTATAACAAAAAAGACAGTTCAAATGTCGTCTACGATTTTTCAGTTTTTTATATATTTTGTTGTTAATAAAAATAACAGCAATTCCAAGTATCTTAGCATGTACTTATAACTAAAGGTGCAAAAACAAAGCATTGTAATGAGACTGCATATTAAACTGAGCTATATATTTTGTTTGTGTATTTTTTTTATAGAAACCCAAAAAATTAGTCTATATTTCGAAACTAGCTAGATGATTGGTGATTTTGATGGGAATTTCCCTATTTATAGGGAGAAAGTTTGAAAATCTTGAAGACTTACGGGTGTTAGACCAGAGTAGGGGATATGACCAGTACACATTTCTAGCACAGTGCAACCAAGGCTCCATATATCAGCTGGACTTCCATAGCCATCATCATTACCCTTGGGGTTAATAACCTGATCAAATGATTATGTTCCATTTAGAAACAACCGTTAATACAATAAAAGTGGAAGGAATCCAAATATATCTGTTACGTATGATTGATTACACAAACATAATTACAGTTATAAACAGATATAAAGGAAATTTAATCAAATACTTTGAAGGAAACATAAAAGGGGTTTCGAGGTTACCAAGTCCAGATCACAACGTATGCAACAACATATTTAAGCAACAGTATATCATCCAACATTGCTATCGATATGTGATATGTGTGTCTATCATTGTATTCACACAATCCAAAACAGTGAGAAGGATCACAACACAATTACCTCCGGAGCCATCCAAAATGGAGTTCCCTTGCAGGATTTACTGTCGTTTAACTTGGACACCTAAATAACAAAATGACACATGTAGCAAGTCAGGGGGATAAGCAATGTACCATGTTATTACTCTAGAGCTAAAACTATAAACATCTAGTAATGGAAAAGAACCTTTGCCAATCCAAAATCTGCAAGTTTGACAGCGCCATTAGCGTCCACCAATATATTTGCACATTTGATGTCCCTTTGTTGCATAAGATGAGAAAAATAAGCAACCCATGATATGCTGGAAATTAGAGGGTTGGGAACTACATTTGTGCCAAGAGAGTTTACTAGTCTAACCTGTGAATAAAACCTTTATCGTGAAGATATTTCAAGCCGTCAAGAATCTGTTTTGTGTACAAGGAGACTACAGATTCCCGAAGCTGGTATCTTTGGTAGAGTTTTAGAAGGGACCCTTGGGTTACAAGCTCAAGAAAAATATACAAATTTGACCCATCCTGCAAACAGCGAAATGAGTTATTAGTTGCACAAAGAAATGCTTAGGTAACAAAATGCTTAGGCAACTGCAACTGAGAACTAGAAATGCAGAACAGGGCCATACCTTGTCTGTGCCACGGTATCGCAGAATATTCCGATGCTCAAGCTGACTAAGTAGTGCAATTTCCTGTAGAAAATGAAAAATGTGGCAAAGGTAAGGTGGATTAGCAACCTAATTTTGACTGATCAATGAGATATATGTTGCGGATCATATATGAAACTTCCATACCCCCTCAAGTTGTTGTATGCATTCTTGTGCCTGACTTCCTTGATCTAAAAGTGAAACTTCCTCGACAGCAAAGAAGAGCCCATCTCTACATTTAACATAAACATGCATTAGCCAAACGCATAATGGAAAAGTCGCTTTGCACCGCAATTGTCAACTGACTACCATCTACATTTTTTTTTAAAACGACATGCAAGTATACAACTAAGTATCTGATTTTAAGTTCAACAAACATAAGCAACCAGTAAGGCTTACTCTGAAATGGCTTCATACACAGAGCCAAATGATCCTCGTCGCAGAAGTTGACCCTTTTGCCAAGAAGTATTGATAGATCCTCCAGAGACATAAATCGGCGAGGTATTGGATACTGAACTTGAGGAGTCACACTCATTTGTAGTGAATGAGCATGCCTCATCAGTCGTATCATCCACTTGGATAAACATATCTCCCGTCTCTTCCGTTTCCACTTTTTCATCCCCAGCTTCCTCTTCATCACAACCATTTTCGGAAGAAGAAGAGGAACTTGGCCGCCTAACTGTTTCATTATCCGGAGCAAAATCAGTAAGGAAATCCCAAGATGATCCCGGAAGATCAACTGGAGGTAGCTTCATCACCGGAGGAGGCTTAAGTACCGATGGTCCTACCCCCTTTATACCACTCCTATTCTCTACCGTACCACCATCAACGACTTCCTTATTTTCTTGAGGAAGGTTTAGTACCGGTGGTATTACCTTAATTCCACCACCAACAACCACCGCATCATTGGGAACAAGATACCCTTTTGACTTCACCAAAATAGTTGGTTTCCGTTCAATATCACTCTTGTTCTCCACCATACCAACATCAACAACTTCCTTATCAGCCAGAGTAAGGTTTAGTACCGGTGGTCTTACCCCCTTAATTCCACCACCAACAGCCACCACATCATTGGGAACAAGATATCCTCTCGACTTCACCAAAATAGGCGGTTTTTGTTCAATACCCCCGTTGTTCTCCACAGTACCACCATCAACAACTTCCTTATCCGTCAAACTACTTAAGTTCTCAATCTTGTTCGACTCGGAAAGCGTCAAATTAGAAGCAACAACAACACCACTAGGACCTGCTTCACTCAAACCCTGACTCTGAACCTCGTGACAATCAATGTCAAGAGACTTCAACCTATTAACAACATCTGAAGAGGAACGCTCCTTACCAGCTTCCCAAGCATCAGAAGAAATGGCAAAATCTTCAGGACCGGAAACATCAAAATACCGATAAATCCTATCAATTTCTCCTTCATCAATTCCACCGACTCGAAAACTAGTACGATTCGGGAAATCCAAAGAACGAGTCATCAACAACGAAGAAGAATCTTCACCTGCATCATAATTGATATTCCTCAACGCATCACGACGGTCTAACCGCCGCACCGGACTTGTCTTATCTCCTCTTCTTCCCGGTGAAAGAAGAGGAGATTTCTTCATACGAGCTAGAATTCTATCGATAAACAAAGAGCGCGTCATCGACGAAGAAGTTGAAACAGAAATATCTTCATTGGGAGCTAAATTCTCAATCTTATTCGACTCGGAAGGTATCACCTCAGTCTCACTCGAATCGAAACGAGTCAACTCAGTAATGTCCAGATTCGTTGAACTAGGAGCTGCTTCACTCAAATCTATTTGCCGGAAACTGATGCGATGCGGGAACTCCATAGAGGGAGTCAAAAAGGAACAAGTCGACTCGGAATCAGTGAAGGAACTAGAAGAAGACACTTCGTCAGAGTTGAATTGCTTCGCCGTGTCATGTCGCCGCACCGGTGACTTATCCGACGACTTCTTCATGTGAGCAACGACGATTGGTAAAGTTGTTATTAGAATTGTTAGTCAGACTTGTTTATAATAATTTTATTATTTTCTCTTTTCATGTTTTTTTTTTCATAAAGTAATCCAGTATAGTGTTCTAAAAGGTGCTTTCGCTCACCTTTTAATTATTTTTTGTGGTTTCTAAACTCAACTTAAATTTAAACAAATCGTATAAATAAAAATAATTTAATTTATTACATTTATGATTTATTATTAATATTTTTCAAATTGGAGTTTGCGACTTTTTAAAAAAAAATTATTTATTTCACGATATAAAAGCTCATTAATCATTTAGTTGAGATTAAACAACTTAAATTCGTTATCATTGGAAGTTATGTTATATAAACTATAAAAATTTCTAAGATAGCACATTTTGATTTTAATTTTTTTTATCAAGTTTTGATTTAAGAAACTAATATTACATGATGTGGTGTTGGGGCTGGAGAGATTACGGGTTTTGGTCTAGAACCTCCTCGTATTCAAAAAAAAAAAAATTACAACTAATTCAGATTCAGTAGGATTTGGTTCAATTTTGGATTAAAATGTAGTTAAATAATGATCAACTAAATGTAATTCATATTATATTTTTAATATATTTTAATTTATATATGAAAATTAAAATAATAAATGTTAATGAATGCTTATTTAGTTTATTATGTCCAATGAAAATTGGTGTGAAAATTTATGTAGTTTTTGTAGTATTATGAATTTGGTTTGCTTTCACATTAGTAAATTTATGTAATCGAAATAAATAAATTTTTTTAACATAAATTAATATTTGATTCTATATAAGAATTTATACATCATTCGTAATAAAATTGGTTTGGTTTCATGTTGATGAATTTATAAAACAACAAAATAAAACTTCATTAATTAACCAAATTTGTATTCCTTCAAAAACAAGTCTTTATATGTGCAAAAAAAACCAATGCCGCAGAGAGATGGTCTAAAATATATGTGTGCTAGAAGTTAATTAGTTACAATGCTGTTCTTTTTTTTTTTTTTGTCAACAGCTATATTAGAAGTTACAATGCTGTTCTTTTTTCTTTATTTGAATATAAAAAATAAAGTGCAGCCACATTAAAAGGAAAAAAGAACATTTATCAATTATCATCGTTTTATGCAAGTAAGTTTGTTTATTTAACACTAATAGTTCTACACAAATTTCATACATGAACAATATCGTAAGAGAATAACATGGAAGAAAATTAACTAGTAAAGAATTGTGAAAACCCAAACCCACAAGCTCGACTAATCAAATTGATTGATAAGCAAGTAAAGAATCAACTTTCCTCAATCAAAGCAAGCGGAGATAGAAGATACGATACGGGTCTCCAAACCTGGTTTGCAGCAAAAGCTGATTTTATAAACAAAGTCAGTTGAAGTTATGTATTAAGCTTTTTCAAACACATGTTGCACTCGATGTACAAACGATTTTTTTTTTTTTGAATTCAATTTAACATGAAATTGAAGAAAAAAAAAGAACATTAACTAGTAATTTGTGGAAGTCCCCTCGACCCAATGGTTGACCAAGGGTTAATTAATGCTTCTACACCAATAGGTCTGAGGTTCGAGTCTCGAATACTGCGATTTATTAACAAATATGCAGATTAATGGAGGCAAGTGTGCAGGAGATCTCCAGCGATGTACAATTATAGCCGTTCGCCAGGATTCTACGCAGAGAGGGAAGTGCAGTCGTTCGCCAGGATTCTACGCAGAGAGGAAGGTGTCGTCAGGTCGTGTATGAAGAAGGAAGTGTAGCCTATCGTAGATCCAATAAGGGTCGGAAGGAATTGTCAGTTGTAGAATCGTCTATGTAACAGTTCTCATAATTTGCAATTAATAATAAATCCAGACGTTAAAAAAAAAAAAACTAGTAATTTATTTTTATATTAAAATTATTTATAAATTTTACAAGAAAATTAGAATGTCTTAATATCTAACATCTCTAGTAGGAGTCCACATGGCTGTGGTCCAGTGGTAGTTGAGAATTGGGAAAATGTTGGAAGGAACTAACCCATGTTCGATCCACGCTGGAAACAAAAAACACATTTGTGTGGGAAATCTGGGCTTGGGCCAAAAGGCCCAAGCAGTTTACCTGGTAGTCCAGTAACAGGCGATCTGGCTACCCCTGGCATTAGTCGGAAAGCATTCCAAACTCGAGACAGACAATGTGGTGGCCCTTCGGGGAGTAGTCCACTCTGAAGCACTTCGGTGCGTTTCTACCGGGACTAACCGGATCAGCCGATAGAGTTTATCAAAAAAAAAAAAAACATCTCTAGTAGCGCAACTGCACGTAAATCTTATACAATAACGCAACCTTTTATTCTTTTTTGAACGAGCTTTTGCACACTCATAACAAAAATTCATTTGACGTTGAAAGAGAGGGTCTTTAAGATGTATGTCCACTAGAAGTTGATCAGTTATAGGACTCGCTGCCAGAGTGACATGATATGTTCTCTCTTTTGAATTAGATTTTTTATATCTATTGATGTACGTATAAAAATCCAAAACATATTTCAAATTAATAAATTAATATTCATAACTATTATATATATTACATATTGTTCTAGTTAAATAAATTTAGACTTACATGACGAAACAAAAATTAGAAGAGTTAAAAGCAAAACAGTTCTCTTCATTTCTTAACACAGATTTTATATAATATCTGAAAAAAAATACTAAATATTTTTACTAGTCGTTTTAAGTTTTGTTTTCTGTAATGAAGTTACTAAATCTATATAGTGCAGTATTTTTCACGCCCGACCCGAATCGTCCGGTCCGACCGGTTAACCCACGACCCGGATACTTTTTCGGTTTGGGTTTAGTGCTAATACCCGCCAATTTCAAAACCGGAAAAACCCACAAAAACCCGCCATTAACCCGCGACCCACTGAACCGGTTGAACCGACTGGGTATGGTTTTTTAAAATATCATTTGATTTTGGAATAAAATTTTGAGTTTTAGACTCTATTCAATTATTTTTAGAACTCTTTTGTAGTTTTTAGACTCATTTGATGTTTTAGATTTTGATGAAACATAACAGTACCGTCTAAGGAGAATGAATGAAATGGTGAGAGAAATAACCGATATTAGTTGTTTTGAATTCGCGATGTTTTATTAGTTTATTTCTGTTATTGGCGATCTCCTACTATTTTAATATTTGTTACGATTTTAGACTTTTAGTTGGATTTAAAATTTTAATTTGAATTACTTTATTATTATTGTTAGACTTTATATTTTGTAATATAGTATGAATATTTTTATTTTTATATTTGTAAAAACTATATATTCTCTATGAATATTAAATATATTAATTAAATTTTAATCAATTGACCCTTGGTCGAATCCGGTTGATCCAGTGACCCGGTGACCCAAAGGTAGTTCGGTTCACCGTCCGGGTCGAGTTTAAAAACATTATTATAGTGTCATATTTATATGTTTTCTTAAAATACGTTATGAAAGAGCTATTGTTCTACTAAACGTTTTATTTTGTTATAAATGAAAATTTAAAAGGCCTCATTTTCAGTCCAAGTGAATGGAGAATTATCGGGTCTCTTCCGTAGTGCTAGGGGACTGCGGCAAGGCTGCTCCTTGTCTCCATATTTGTTTGTCATATGCATGAATGTTCTGTCGCACATGCTAGACACAGCAGCTCTGGAAAAAAGAATAGGTTACCACCCGCGTTGCCAAAATCTTAAGCTTACACATTTGTGTTTTGCAGATGATCTTTTGGTATTCACGGACGGCAACAAACGATCTATAGAGGGAATTCTTCAGATTTTTGATAAATTTGCTACTTTCTCGGGACGGAAAATTAGCCTTGAAAAATCAACACTATATATGGCGGGGGTTAAGGAAGACGACAAGGAAGAGATACTCCAATCTTTCCCATTCGAATCAGGATCTCTGCCGGTCAGATATCTTGGTTTACCACTTTTAACCAAGAGAATGTCTTTAAGTGACTATACACCACTTATAGAAAAAATTCGAGGAAGGATAGGCAAATGGACAGTGAGACACCTTTCCTTTGCAGGTCGGCTGCAACTCATCAGCTCTGTGATTTACAGTCTTACCAATTTCTGGATGTCAGCGTTCCGCCTACCAAATGCTTGCATTAAGGAAATAGATAGCTTGTGTTCTGCTTTCTTGTGGTCAGGACCCGAGCTAAACACCAAAAAAGCAAAAGTTGCGTGGAGTGAAGTATGTCTACCAAAAGATGAAGGAGGGCTCAGCCTTAAATCACTTAAAGAGGCAAACAAGGTTAGTTGCTTAAAACTTATTTGGAGAATAATATCGACTGACTCTCTTTGGGTACAATGGCTGCGGATGCATCTGCTTCGCAAGGGATCTTTCTGGTCAATAAGCGAGAAAACGTCCCTAGGATCGTGGATGTGGAAAAAGCTACTCAAATATAGATCCTTAGCTGCTGGCTTTGTGAAACATGAGGTACACTGTGGGAAAAGCATCTCTTTCTGGTTCGAAAATTGGTCCCCTCTTGGTCGACTATTTGAAATGTTGGGACATCGTGGATGCATTGATATGGGAATCAGTATTCATGCTACAGTAGCTGAAGCTGTGGAGAAATGTAGAAGACGGAGGCATCGAACTGATATTTTAAATCAAGTAGACGAGATCATACAAAGCTTTCGTGAAAAGGGTTTAAGTGCTGCAGTTGACAAAGTACTTTGGAAGGGGAAAGGAGATAAATTCAGAAGTACGTTCAGTACAAAGGAGACTTGGGAAGCTACTCGTGAAAGACAAGCAAAAGTAGAATGGTATAAAGGTGTTTGGTTCTCACATGCCACACCTAAATACTCAATTCTAACATGGCTTGCTATTCAAAATCGCTTAACAACCGGTGACAGAATGTTAAGTTGGAATGTGGGGGTGGATCCCTCATGTATCCTCTGCCATGAACCCTTGGAATCTCGCAGTCACTTGTTCTTTACGTGTAGATACTCGGAAGAGGTTTGGTCTGGACTAGCAAGAAAGTTACTAATGAGGAGATTTGCCACAAGCTGGGATATGGTTCTCAAGATTCTTGCAGATAAATCTATGGGAAAGGATTGTCTCTTCTTGACGAGATATACTTTTCAAATCACAGTTCACTCGCTATGGAAAGAAAGAAATCGAAGAAGACATGGGGAAATTCCAACTTCACCAACTCAAATGATACGGGAGATAGACAAGCAAATCCGGAACAGAATCTCTTCCATACGAGACCTTGGAGATCAAAGATACGAAGGTTGTATGGCAATGTGGTTCGCATCAAGATAAAGAACAAGCTCTCATCACTCTTTTATTTTGATTAATGTACTCAAAAACTCTTAGAAAACTGCAGATGTAAAAAGTTTTTTTCGAATAAATTTTACATTTTATTCAAAAAAAAAAAAAAAAAAAAAAAATTAAAAAGACCATTGTGTTTTAAAAAAAAAAATTCGTTTCTGAAGTATTTTTTTTACAACATTTATAAAGTAAAATGATTATAATTAGACATCAAAGGATAATTTTCAGGTAAAAGTCATAAATTTAGCTTATCTGATGTTAATAGAAAAAAAAATTCGTATTGACACTACTCTTGTTTTTTCTCTCAAAATGATGTACTATTAGAATTAGAAAAAAAAAAAAACAATTTCCCATTTTTTGATGTTTTATTTCAAAATGAAGAATCATTGGTTATTCTGAATGGTATTATGGTCCCACTATCATATAAGGAGTCAAAATTCTTTTGAATATTTTTTATAGCATCCATCAATTGCAATAACTTTTCAACGGCCAATATTGTAAGAAACAAGCTGAATTATATAGACTTCAATTAAAGTGGCTTTGACCAGAATCAAAGAAAATGTTTTGACCATACTTTTTAATAGATGATTAGAGCAGCAGATCTCTTAAAAGATATAACTATAGAAGTATGAGACAAATAGAAGATTAAACCCATCGATGTGTACACAGTTACAACAAGCAGGAACTAGATAAGAACCAACTATAATTATACATTACATTACATGATATAGGATACATACAGAGATACACTATAATTTAACAAAAGCTAAACAAAACCTATACACCCAAAAACCCCAAGGTCGACATTCTAATTCCTAGAAAAATAAGGCTCTTCAGTTTTAAAATCAAGCCCAACACATAATAACTTACAACAAATAACCAACGAATGAGACCGAAACTACCTGAAGATGTCTCCAGGAAGTTTGGCTCTTGCTGCGCAACCCAACCACGCATGTGTGTGTGCCGAAGAAGAATCATATCTCGTGTCTCCCCAGTAGTTTCTCTGGGGTCTAACCTCTCATAAATCTTCTGGTTATGCCTGCTTTTGTACATCAGGACGTCGATGTTAGAATATACAGCTTTTGATTTTGATAATATTCTCATGAAAAAATGAAACTAAATGCTTCACCTTTAGAGGCAGTTTACTAAAATTAGCCTCATCTACGGAGTAGCGGAGATGCTGATCCCGAGCCTCCTGAGCCCATTGATGGTAAGGGCCTTCTCACAAATGGATGGTTCAGTAGTTCAGCTGCAGTTGGCCGCTCTTCCGGGTTCACTTTGAGACACTTAAGTATGAAATGCCGAGCGTCCAGTGATAAAGTATCAGGTACTTCCGGAAGCGTACCCCTTCCGATCCTAAACAGGGCTTGAACCTGCGCGTTTGCAAAAATTCTGACTTTAACTCACAAAATCCATAAGAAAAACGGTTCAAATGCCGTTTAAGATTCTGAAGTCTTTTACTAGCTAAATAGTTGCTGATTTTTGTGGGAATTTCCCTATTTTATATGAAGAAAGTTTGAAAACTTACGGGTTCTAGATCGGAGTAGGGGATCTTCCCAGTACACATTTCCAGTACAGTGCACCCAAGGCTCCAAATATCAGCTGGACTTCCATACCCATCATTATCCTTCCGGTTAATAACCTGACCAAATCATTAAGTTCTATTTAGAAACAAACGTACAAGTAAAGCCTGAAGTACAATGAATCCACATATTTAAGTAACAGTTCAAGATCTAACATTTCTATTGATGTAATGATATGTTTTTCTAACTGCCTATCAGTGGGAAAGTTTCCCAAAAAATTACCTCTGGAGCCATCCAAAATGGAGTTCCCTTGCAGGACTTAATGTCGTTGAACTTTGACACCTAAATAGCAAAATGACAAATGTATCAAGTAAGGGGATAAACGATGGACCAAGTAATTACTTAAGAGCAAAACCTATAAACATCTATTAGTGGATAAGAACCTTTGCCAATCCAAAATCTGCAAGTTTGACGGCGCCATTAGCGTCCACCAATATATTTGCACATTTGATGTCCCTTTAATGCATAAGATGATAATAATAAGTGACATGATATGCAGGAAATTAGAAGCTTGGGAATGACAGCTGTGCCAAGAGAGTTTACTAGTCTAACCTGTGAATAAAACCTTTATCGTGGAGATATTTCAAACCGTCAAGAATCTGTCTTGTGTACAAGGAAACTACAGAGTCCCGAAGCTGGTATCTTTGGTAGAGTTTTAGAAGGGACCCTTGGGTTACAAGCTCAAGAAAAATGTACAAATTTGACCCGTCCTGAAAACAGCAAAATGAGTTATTAATTGCACAACAAAATGCTTAGGCAACTGCAACTGAGAACAAGAAATAGAGAACAAGAAATAGAGAACAGGACCATACCTTGGCTGTGCCACGATATCGCACAATATTCTGATGCTGAAGCTGACTAAGTAGTGCAATCTCCTGTAGAAAACGAAAAATGTGGCAAAGGTAAGTTGGATTAGCAACCTACTTTTGACTGATCAATTAGATAATGCTACAATGAAAAAGTGATAATTGCTGCGGATCATAGACCCATGTCTACGAAACTTCCATACCCCCTCAAGTTGTTGTATGCATTCTTGTGCCTGACTTCCCTGATCAAGAAGTGAAACTTCCTTGACAGCAAAGAAGTCCCCATCTCTACATTTAACATAAACATCCATTAGCCAAACGCATAATGGAAAACTCGTTTGGCACCACATTTGTCAACTGACTACCTTAGTATTATTCCTCATTGAGTGTCTACTTTTTAAAAAAACTGTGCTACTAAGTATCTGATTTTTAGTTTAACAAACATAAGCAACCAATAAGCCTTACCCTGAAATGCCTTCATACACAGAACCAAATGATCCTCGTCCCAGAAGTTGACCCTTCTGCCAAGACGTTATAATAGATCCTCCATCAGGATAGATTGGTGAAGTATTTGATACTGTGCTTGACGTGTCACCCTCGTTTGTAGTGAATGAGCATGCCTCGTCAGCCGTATCCCCCAACTGGATAAACCTAGCTCCCGTCTCTTCCGTTTCCACTTCCTCTTCCTTAGCTTCCGCTTCATCACAGCCATTCTCGGAAGAAGAAGAAGAGGAACTCGGCCGCTTAACTGTTTCACTTGGAGCGAAATGTGTAAGGAAATCCCAAGAAGATCCCCGAAGATCAATAGGAGGTCGTTTCATCGCCGGAGGAGGCTTAAGTACTGGTGGTCTTACCCCCTTAATACCACCACCAACAGCCACTACATCATTGGGAACAAGATACCCTTTCGACTTCACCAAAATAGTCGGTGTTCGTTCAAAACCACGCCTATTCTCTACCATACCTGGCGTACCACCATCAACTACTTCTCTATCCACAGGAGTACTTAAATTCCCAATCTCACTCAACTCGGAAGGCATCAACTCATTAATGTCCCGATTCGTTGAACTAGAAGCAACAACAACACCAGTAGGACCTGCTTCACTCAAATCCAGATGATTCAATGAATTAGAAGTAACAACAACAACACTAGGACCAGCTTCACTCAAATCCCGATCCTGAACCTTATGATTATCAATGTCAAAAGACTTAAACCTATTAACAACATCTGACGAAGAACGCTTCTTACAAGCTTCCCAAGCATCAAAAGAAATCGCCAAATCATCAGGACCAGAAACACCAAGAGACCGATAAATCCGATCCATTTCTCCTTCACCACCTCCACCGATTCGAAAACTAGTAGGCTCAGGAAACTCCAAAGAACGAGTCATCAACGAAGAAGTTGAAACGGAAAGATCTTCAGCTGACGAACTAGAACTAGACGCTACATCATAATTGATATTCCTCGCCGCATCACGACGCTCTAACCGCCGTACCGGAGTAATCTTATCTCCTCCTCTTCGTCCCGATGATTTCTTCATACGAGCTAGAATTCTATCCATAACCAGCTAAAATCCATACGCTATTTACAAGTTCCAAGTCAAAAAGAAGAGAATCGCACCTCTTACTTGGCTTCAATGGAGCTTGGAATTGGAAAATTTTCCCGAGAAAATCTAGGAAAGAGAGAAAACTCGCGGGAGTGAAGAAGACCGAGAAATTTGGGCAAAACCTGACGGCGATGAGAGATGAGAGAGAGAGAGAGAGAGAAGAAATGTAAACAAAAACGCGGTGTTTCGTGGAATAATCGGAGACGAAGCATTGTTTCTGCGTTTTTGATTGTTCAGTTCCTTCAGAGTCTTACTTTTTTTTTTTTTAACGCGTTCACTTACTGGGCTTTTTTTATTATTGTTTGGGCTTATTGGGCTTTCGGTTTTATTATACACATGACATGGTGTTCTTAGTTGGATAAATATAGATTGGAGTTGGTTGTTGTTTTAAGAAGTAGAGTTTAGATGGTTTTGTTTTTTTTAGGTGTTAAACATTTGTAGATTTATGGATGTGAATTTGAGTGTGAAATTCGCGGATCGGGCATAAACCGCTTTGCTATAAGACGGGTTAAGATTATATATTTTTAAGTTCGTTAGAAAATGGTAGTCGCGGATTAGTCAATCACGGTGGTGAGTTGTGACAAAAACAACGGCGGCGAAACCTAGTTCTAAAACAATGTGTGATGAGAGACTTTGTCTTTTGGAAAGAAGAAGATGAAATGAAAATCGTATTGGGCTTGTTGGCTTAGATATATTTAGTAAAAATGGACTAAATTATTTTTTGTTATATAAACTCAAAGGCCCAAACCTAATATAAAACATAACTACCCCAGATCTTCGGATATCCGATTGACAAATTTTTAATTATCCGGATCATGATCTGGCTGGACCAAATTCCCTATTTTCCGGAGCGATTATATGACCGAATCCCGGATTCCGGATAATAAGTCTCAGGGCTAGTGTACAACACGGTTTTGATAGTGGCATATAAACGATGTTAAATACATAAAAGTTAGAAGTAATTTAGTTAACCAATGAAAAGATTGTAACTAAATAAACATACTATTATATAACATTTAGATGGGTTGGTCCTAAATTTTAAAAGCTACAAGCAAACAAATAAAAGAATTGCTTTGATAAACCTAAATCGACCAAAAGTTTCTACCGCTCACTTTCGTAAAAATTTTGAACTTCAACATGGACAATGCTAAGCAAACTTTTGTTTACCTTAATTGTTTTTGTTGAGAAAATGTAAATAAAAATTGCATACCCAAAAACTCGGTCTTGGGTGATAATAATTTCGCCACTAAAACTAACCCACTACATCAAAGTAGATTTTACAAAAATAAGAAGGCCAAACAAAATATACTATATTAGAGGCTGCAAATTCATTTTTGGTCCGTTTGGCTCAAGGGCCTGCTATGAGTAGTATTACAAACATGAATCACATTTTCATACCCAAAACCTAAAAAACAAAACGACTATTTTATAGAATATGGTTAAATAGCATATGAAGTATGGTTTTGTAAGGTATGATGACAATATAGTATATTTAGAAAACTATTATAATTTGGATGGTTACAATTTAAAAGGATTTTAGATCTTCTTTTGTGCAAAGGGATTTTAGATCTAATAACGGAAATTATGACAACAAGAAACATAAGTTCCAATCAGGAATGGTTTTAGACCGCATAAGGTCCGACTTAAATAGGATGGGCAAAAGGGCAATAATATGAGGGCCCATGATTGTTTCTTCTAAATAAGGGCCGATATTTTGATTTTCGAAAAAAAAAACCTAACATATAAAAGGGCCCAAAAAAATATTCTTTCTAAATTCTCATAAAAAAATTGCCATATTTTGATTGTATTGAATGAATTTCTAACATAAAAGATCCGTATTTTAGAAAAAAAATGGCCCTAGAGACATCACAAATCAGGAAAAATGGGTAGAAAAACCCTCACCTTTCATAAAAACATAGAAAAAACCATCAACTTTTTTTGTGGGTTTTTAAACCCCCACCTTTTCATAAATGGTAAAATAAACCCTAGTATTAAAAAACTTAATTTAAATTCAAAAAATCGTTATACTAAAACATAAATAAATAGGAAAAATTTGATTTCGGGTATTTCTTCTAAAATTCTAGTTTACAATATTTTTCTAAATTGAAAATATGTAAGTCATGATGTAAAAAAGTTAATTAGTGAAGTTTTATTCGGTGTGTTACAAAAATTCATCAACGTGAAACCAAACAGATTTTGTTACGAATTATATGTAAATTCTTATATCGAAATCGAATATGAGTTTATATTAATAAAGGTTTATTAGGTTCGATCACACAAATTTACTAACGTAAAACCAAACCAAATTTTATAATACTATGAAAAGTACATGAATTTCCACATCAAAATATGTTCATTGGACAAACTAAATAAGATTTACTAACAATTAATATTTATATATATATATATATATATATTACGATATATTAAAATATAATATAAATTAAATTTAATTAATCATTATTTAACTATATTTTTATCCAAAACCTGAACACTCGAATAAAAAAAATCAAATGTGATATCCTATAAATTTTTGTAGTTTATATAACATAACTTCTAATTATAACAAAAATAATTTGCCTAATCTCAACTAAATGGTGAATAAATGTTCATAGCACAAAAACCCTAATTTTAGAAAAAAAAATCGTAAACTCGAATTTGAAATAAAAAATCATAATTAAATTTTTTTTGTTACTTACTGTTTTAATATAATGATTTTTAAAAAATTAAATTGAGTTTATTAATATTAGGGTTTATTTAACCATTTATAAAAAGGTGAGGGTTTAAAAACCCACAGAAAAAGTTGAGGGTTTTTTCTATGTTTTTAAGAAAGGTGAGAGTTTTTTTACCCATTTTTCCAAATCAGCCCGGGCCGAATCGCATGATTATGTTATATTAGAACCTAAAGTACAATTGATCAAAACCACCAAATTTGTTAAGGGAAAACCAATTGTTCTAGTACATATGATGACACAAATGTTTTCCATTATTTTTACAAATGAATGATCTTATCGGTCCAATGTCCAAAGAATGAAATATCATTATGCAAAGAGATTTTGTCAATTTTGCTTTTATTGTTCTCAAGATTAATGGTATGAATATCAGTCAAACTCAAAAAAGAATGTATAGATATAAAGATTCAACGGGCAAATTGCTTTAGAAGTTGTGCGTATGAGGAAACAATTAATCGTGTATTATTTGAATGATCATGGTCCTTGCAAACAGGGATCCTATTTCCATTTCTTATGAATGTATACATAGATGTTATGGTTCAGTTGGAATTCAGATAATGAATTGATCTTTTAAAAATTTTTGGTGCGCCTCCGGATATTCACAATATGTTATATGTGAGTTTAAAACTTGGATAGAAGCTCAACTAACAGCCCTTGGATTCGTAGAGAACAGCTCAATCGATAGTAGAAAAAAGACTATTAGAAGAATTATGATCCAACCAAGGGCTTGGAATATATTTATATAAAGGCTGAAAATACTATGGGGTTTTGAAGAGCTAAGTATGAGAGAAGAAGTTTGTTCCCTTTCGCTCAAAATTGGAAGCGCTGATGTAGTTTATATTAATTATGATTTTTTGAGGGATAGGTTGCTTAGATTTTGAGACGAAATGGGTGGAGTTGATCAAGATGAAACAAACAGTTTCTCAAATGACCTACTTTTAGGATCTTTTTTGATGGGTTCAGACTGCTTAAGAATTGATTTAGTTTTTTTTTTCGCTCCTCACTGCTGAAATTATTAAGTAAATTGTTTAGTTAGATTAGTTCGTAAAGGTAATGATTTTGTTATGTAAACTCTTGAAGAGATGTTTAATAAAAATAAATATATAGTATAAATAATAAAATATATTTACATAGTTGAAAATAATATGTAAGATATGTGGTAATGTAAGGAAATTTTATGTATAAAATTATAATATTTACAAAAGAGTAGTATTAAAAGTTATTTACAATACTTAAAATTGTAAATTTAAATTTTAAATATGAATTTTATATTAAATTATTTTTCAAATATAAAAATTAAGCATGTGGTCCGGTCCGCTAACCCGCTAGGCTTACTAGAGCGGCCCTCCAGCCCAGATGGACGCGGCCCAACCCGTTTGACACCTCTAAACTCTTTTCATCCTTTTTTAATTTTGAAAAAAAACTTTTGGTTGACAAAAATTTTTTGACACCTCTAAACTCTTTTCATCAAATAAACAAAATTGTCTAAAATTGAACAGTACATTGTAAACTCTATTTTATTAACCCTAAACAAAAAATCTTAACCCAAATCCCTTATACTTAAATTTATTAACCCTTTAATTAATAAATTAGCTATCTATATAGTTTTGGAAGAGTTAGCCTTTTCTATAAAAAAAATCTAAAACTTTGTCTCCTAGTTATCCATAATTAGGAAACAAATCCTAAAGTACTTTATTCAAATAAATAGTATGAAGAAATTTTAATATTTTTGATGTGTAATTTGGTAATATATTTAATATTTAGACACATTGACATTATAATTAGGCAATTTGGTAACATGTTAATGAAATATTAATGGTTATTAACTTATTATGGTAATTTATTTATTAAAAAATATTTAAAATTTAAATTGGGTAAAAAGAATTGTATTAGTAATTGTATTACACAATCTGGTAATATATTAATGTCTATTAACTAAGTATAGTAAATTATTAATCAAAATTTTAAAAATTTAATATTTGGATATCTTACTTGTTAAAGTAATAGTTTTCCATGTAAAATTGACCATATCAATGATACATTATGTACAAAAATAGTGTCTACTTTTAAATATGACTTATGACATGTGTAAAAAAGTAAGAAAATTTATAGTAACACAATAATTAACTCAAATTGGCCAAAGACACATTAATAAAATTGCTATATATATCGAAAGGGCGCGAAATCGTTTTCTCATAGTTTACCAGAAGTTTCACTCAAACATATGCTAAGTATTTTTCTACAAGTAACTCTTTTTCCGTTCTTGGATACAACTAGATCTTATTTGGCCGTTAAAACCGTTAATCTCTTTTCCCGCGAAAATTTGAATCTTGGTTTTTCCGTACGTTAATACAGTTAAATCTCTTTTCGTTCGTATATACAGGTAAATCTCTTTTTCGTTTATATATACGTTCAAATCTTTTCTAGCACGTACAACTTTTTCTGTTTGTAAACATAGCTAATATTTTTTTCCTATTTTTTTTTTCTTTTATAAATACAAAAACAACTATAGTAGTAATACATTTGCTTGCAATTTTTCTAATTCTGAATTTTTTTTAGATCATTGTCTTTCTTCCGAATTTTAACTTATACACAAATAAGGAAAACCTAGTATAACAAAAAAAATTATAAATATAAAAAAATATATAAAAACTTGAGAAAGAGAGAGCTTTCTCGGAGAGAAGAAAGAGGCTGCTGTTTGTTCATGCGTTTCGTTCCTTGAACAAGTTTTCTCAAAGAAACAAAAAAAAAAAAAAAACATTTCGCCTCCTTCTCTTCTTCTTCTTCGCTACCAGTCTCTTCTCTCTCGCACCATCGCAAAAACCCTAATTTCTCTTCGATTTTCTCTTCTCACAAACCCTAATTGTTTCCTCCACTCGCTTTTTCCTTCCATCGTTTGGGTTTGTTTAAGTTTCTCTTTTGTTTGGGGAAGAAGCCATTGTTTTCTTTGAGCGATTGAATCTATAAAACTTCTTCTTCTGGGTTTGGGTTTTGGTGTTTGTTCTTCGTCTCTTTCGTTGAACCGTTTGTTTCGATTTTCTTTGTTCTGGGGAAAATTTTTATGGTGATGCGTTAAAACGAATTTTGCCGTTGTTGTGTTGAATTCTAGGGTTAGTGATAGGTTTTATTGGCGTAGGTGGTTAGGGTTTCTGGTTAGTGCCATCACTGTGAATTCAGGCTAGTTGATGATGATGATCTTCTAGGTTGGTCTTAGAGTGTGTGTCTAAGCCATCTGTGGGAGAGATGGATGTGTAGAGGGTTTTTATCATCATTGATTTTGTGCTTTGAGACAATTCGATTCATTTGGTTTTGAGATTGGATTTCTTCCCTGCCCTTTGTGGTGGTAGGTTGATTAGATGTTTAGGAAGAAGAGTTGTTGAGAGTGAAATAGGCCATAAAATTACTGAATCTTTCTTTTATCTGATGAAGTATAGCTTTCATAATGGAAAAACGCGAACCCTCTTTAGTACCTGAATGGTTGAGAAGTTCAGGACATGGTTCTGGTGTTGGGAGTTCAAATCAGCTTTTATCATCTTCTAATTCTCACTCAGGTATGCTCGAGTTTGTTTGATTTCGTAATTGTTATATCTTGTTCATAGCATTGTAAACCATTTGTTCGATTTATCTGAATAGCGTTGTAAGTCTGTTTATTTTTTATTTTTTTTGGTTTAGATTCTTCTTCGTTGTTACGTAATAGCAAGAATAGGAATTCTAGGAGCAGAAGTGATGTTGATTCAGTTCGGTCTCCTTTTCTTGATCGGTCTTCTTCCACCAATACAAGGAGGGGATCTAGTAATGGGTCTACCAAACATGCATATAGTAGTTTCAACTTCAATAGGAGCAGCAGAGATAAAGATCGGAGCAGGGAGAAAGATAGGTTGAGCTACATGGATCCATGGGACCATGACACTTCTCTGCCTTTTGGAACCATCTTGATTGGTGGGGGACAAGAGCCACTGAGACGATCACATTCAATGACAACAAGGAAACAGGGCAACCATCTGGCTCAAGGATTTACAGTAGGATATAAAAATGGTGGAAACATTAATACTTACAACGGACATGGTATACTTCCTGGAACTAGCCCTGCAAAGAGCTCCAAAAGAACAGGTTTCGATAAGGATTTTCCTTTGCTTAGAGCTGAAGAGAGAAATGGAGGCCCAGACGTCGTAAGAATAGCATCTCCTGTTCTAAGTCCAACTGCTCAGAGCTTGTCAGTTGGTAATCCAGCCTTGATTGTTGGGGAAGGTTGGACATCGGCTCTGGCAGAGGTTCCCAATGTTATTGAGAAGAGTGGTACTGGTTCCCATTCTAATGTTGGTAGTTCGGCTACCTTAACGGTACCAACTTGTCGTAACATGGCTGAAGCATTGGTGCAGGCTCCAGGAAGAACTCGTACACCACCCCAGGTATGATTTGCATCTTTATGTTGCTTATAGTACACTACCTTTTCTGTGTTTCTAACATAGTTTTTGTATTTGGGATCTGTAAAGGCACAAACACTTGAGGACCGAGCTATTAGGCAGTCTAGGCAGTTGATACCTGTTGTGCCTTCAGCACCAAAGGGCTCAGTAAGTTCTTTTCCATGGTTGATCTTATTTTCCTTCTGTTACCTTGGGCTACATTCAGTATATGTTGGTTGATTTCTCAGGTTCATAACTCTTCTGATAAATCCAAGACCAAACCAATGTTTCGAAGTGGTGAAATCGGTCTTGCTTCTTCAAGAAATACCCAACAGCATTCCTCTGTGATGCTCGGTAATCTGCAGTCTAATCCTGGTAGTCAGATCAAGCCTGATACGACTAAGAAGCTGGTGATTCTCAAACCTGCTAGGGAAAATGGGGTAGTTGCTGGAGGTTCACCACCCAGCAGCCGAGCTGCCGCTAGCCAGCTGACCACTGCTCCATCCACACAATTTACTGCTTCTGTGAGAAGTACAAATGGTCCAAGGGAGCCCAGGGGAGCTTCTGTAAACATGATAGCTGGAAAAAACCGCTGAAAAGAAACTTTCCTTGGCTCAAACTCAGAGTAGGAATGCATTTTTCAGTACTTTGAAGCAGAAAACATCTACAAACATCTCAACTGATCCATCAAAAACCAGCTCTTGCATCTTGTCTTCAGTGGAGGAAAAGGCAAACAGTTCTAAGGAGCTTGTAGCTAGTGACCCTTCAAGCCCACAGGCTGCAGAAAGAGATGAAATCATGGAAAGTGTCGAGAAAGTTTCTGATGTTGTAGAAAGGGTTAGCAGATTTGAATCGGCAGTCCGTCCAGATCCAAAAGAGGCTGCGTTCCTTAAATCCCTTGGGTGGGATGAAAATGACAGCGAAGAATACACCCTCCCAATGGAGGAGATGATCGAATGGGTAAAGGACACAACAACACTCTTCCTTGTTTCTTTTAATTTCTCTCATTATTGTTTAACTCGTTTTTACTTTGCATCTTTTATATAACAGTGCAAGAAGTTCAAGCCATCACTGCTGCAGAAGCTGCCTATCATATAAGAAGCAACCGAGGACATAGCTCCCGACTAGTGATCAGATTTTGTTCGGGGTTCCAGATGGAAGATAGTTTTCGTTCTCTTTTCTTTTCTTTATTTTCTTTGGCTTTTTTTTTTTAATTTTGGTTACTTCAGCTCTGGCAAGAAGGTGGGAAGGCTTTAGTTGCAGTAAGAGTGTTGTTCTGCTTCTTCTTCAGAGTTGCTACAAAATGAAAAAAAAGCTGACTATTTTGTACATCTTTGGTCTGAAGATAAGAGGGCTTTGTCTTTGGCATCTTCTTTTAGGTTTTCTAATGTTTGATGATCATTTCATTCATGGTCAGGGAAAGAGAAAAGTGCCGATGGGGGTTTAGTAGAAAATTTAAAGAATTCGTTTTCTTACCTTTTTATGAAATTTATCCTTTAGGCTTTTATATTTTATATAATTTATTTATTATATTTATAGTTAAATATTTCCTACCAAATCGTTTCGATACTAAAGGTCTTAAGACTATAAATAGTGGAAGTTCAATAACTCTATTGTCCTGGCCATATCGTGAAATTAATTTTGAAAGCTTCTATGCTGCAATTTGCAGTTTTTGGTGATATGCCCGGATTTTTTTAACCACTAACGTTGATTAAATGCCTGGTTAATCAACCAAATCTGTAGCAAGTTCCTCTAGAGGCAATGGACAAGTCGAAATCGTTCTTTGCAGAAATGTTTTAACTGAAAAATTTGGTTAATTCTAGTATTTCACATACTTTTGATGTTTGGTTTTTCGTCTTCAAACACATTCTTAGGCGTGTGGATCCACATACAAAGTAAAATGGAGTAATCAACTGCATCCAGTAAAATTTACAAACCCTTTAGTAGTAGTTTATGGACAAAAATTTTAACGACCCTAGTTAATTTTCTAGCTACTTTTGGTTTCATTTAAAAAACTATAAATTTTATACTTGAAGGAAAAAAAATTTATTTAAATTCTATTACGATTTATAAATATCTAAGGAATATTATAAAAGGAGATCTCTCCCTAATAAACGGGGAAGGGGGAAAGGTTATTGAATTAGTAAATTTGAAAGAATTTAATAGAATGCTAAATTCTAGTGTTATTCGATTACGTATTTTATGAATTCTTTTAAATTCTAGTGTTATTCAATATTATGATGGTTTTGATAATAATATCATTTGAAAGGAATTTAATACAAATTTATATAGAAAACGTGAAGAAACAATTCCCACTATTTATGCTATGATTTGGATAGAATTTATTTTATACCTTAAATGCTCTTACTTTTTTTATTCCATTCAATTCTTTTACTTAGTACTCCCTCATAAGAAGAACTTGTGGTTATGGTATTAATAAGGAGATCAAAGTATAATATTCAAAAAAAAAAAACGTGAGGGGCAAATATGAAATTAAGAAAAAAAACATATGGGAACCTAGGTGAAAAGTGAAAGATATAAAACCCATTCCACGAGAGTTCCTTATTTTAAGGATTTTTGTCTCTTGACGATTGCTTTGCTGTGTTGTGCTGTGCATGTTCAGACTCTGAAATGCGGCAAAACATTATCAAGAAAGGTAAAGATGTATTACAGTTTTGAGAGAGTTCGATTAGGGTTTTTGATTCTTAGATTCGTTTATGGTTTAAGTTAGGAATTTAGTACATGATTAGATTAAATATCTCTAATGATGATGTGATAAGACGATAAAAAATAAATTTTTATGGCCATTATAATGTTTAGTGCAAAGATGGCAAAAACATAATTTCCATTCTTATCTATAAATGATTATGGTATAATTTGTGTTAACGTTATAATCTCTACTAAAAGGTAAAAAATTGTTAATTTAAAATTTAACAAAGAAAATAATTTTCAAAAGTAAAATAAAATTATTCCTTCAATCTCATAGACCTAAATTTAATCTCTATATCATTATTTAACAAATAGAAACACACGGAAATCAAAGTTGGGGCAAATGAGGTTTGTGATTGAAAGTTGATATGATTTCTCTTAATCACCTTTAGTGAATACTCTTTGAATTCTAATTAGATTTTTTTTTTGAAGTGTAATCGTTAGGGATATTAAGGTCAAAGAGTGTGTCGATTTCTATATATTGTATTCATTAGAAGTCAATATATACATGCAAAAGAACAAAAGACAAATATTCCGTCAGCCAAAGAGTGTATCGATCTTAATATCCTTAACGTTATAATGGCCACAATGGAAATTATGATTTCTCTTAATCACCCTTAATGAATACTCTTTGAATTCTAATTAGATTTTTTTTGAAGTGTAATTGTTCGTGGCCTCAATCTTTGTTCCCTAGATACATGCAGAAAAACAAAAGATAATATTCCGTCATGAATAAACAGCCAAACACAGACAAAATATAAAGACAGAAATCTATGTGTGTACAAGTCACTTAGTAACAATAACACAACAATTTAGGACACAAATCGACCATAAGGATATTTACTAAAATAAGCAACAATTATCAAATAGATTATTAGATATACAAATAACCATCCATGTTGTTAACCAATCAAACGCCAATTACCTAACCGAAGAAGGGGAAAAAACGATAGAGACACACAAACCTGTTTTTCGACAAAAAGCATCTCTGTTTTACATCTCAATCCGCGAGTATTGAATTAGTGAATTTCACAAAATTTAATAGAATGCTAAATTATTGTGTTATTCAATTATGTATTTTATAAATTCTTTTAAAGTCTAGTGTTATTATATATTATGATGGTTTTGATAATAATGTCATTTGAAAGAAATTTAATAGAAATTTAAACAAAAAACGTGAAAAAAAAATTTCCACTATTTATGCTATGATTTGGATAGAATTTATTTTTTTACCTTAAATGCTCTTACTTTTTTTATTCCATTAAATTCTACTACTGACTACCCCCTCAGACCATAAGTATCGGTATAACATGACATGTGTTCTAAAGGTTTTTAAAATAATAAAAGTTGTTAAATAAAGTATTAAAATAATGTAAAAGATCTTGTGGGGAGAAGAACAATGCTTAAACAGATCTTGCTCAAGAACTATCCAAGGTGATCCAAGCCAACTGTTCTAACTTTTCTTATTATTTTAATGTTAAGAACATGGCCTCAGATGGCCCAATGCAGATGGCCTCATAATAAGAACTTATGGTTATGGTATTAATAAGGAGATCAAAGTGAAAAATATAAAACCCATTCCACGAGAGTTCCTTATTTTAAGGATTTTTGTCTCTTGACGATTGCTTTGCTGTGTTGTGCTGTGCTTGTTAAGACTCTGAAACGGCGACAAAACATTATCAAGAAAGGTAAAGATATATTACAGTTTTGAGAGCGTTCGATTAGGGTTTTTGATGCTTATATTCGTTTATTGTTTTAAGTTATAAGAGGAATTTAGTACATGATTAGATTAAATATCTCTAATGATGATGTGGTAAGACGAAAAATAAATAAATTGTTAAGGCCATTATAATGTTAAGTGCAAAGATAGCAAAAACATAATTTCCATTTCTTATCTATAAATGATTATGGTATAATTTGTGTTAACGTTATAATCTCTACTAAAGGTAGCAAACTGTAAATTTAAAATTTAACAAAGAAAATAATTTTCAAAAGTGAAATAAAAAGTATTCCTCCCATCTCATAGATCTAAATTTAATCTCTATATCATAATTTCACAAGTAGAAACACACGAAAATCAAAGTTGGGGCAAAGGAGGTTTGTGATTGAAAGTTGATATGATTTCTCTTAATCACCGTTAATGAATACTTTTTAAATTCTAATTAGACCTTTTTTTTAAATGCAATCGCTAGGGGTATTAAGGCCAAAGATTGTGTCATATATATATTGTATTCATTAGAAGTCAATATATAGATGCAAAAGATACATGAAAAAGAACAAAAGACAAATATTCCTTCAGCGAAAGAGTGTGTCGATCTTAATATCCCTAACGTTATAATGGTCACAATGGAAATTATGATTTCTCTTAATCGTCCTTAATGAATACTCTTTGAATTCTAATTAGATGTTTTTTGAAGTGTAATCGTTAGTGACCTCAATCTTTGTCCCTTAGATACATGCAAAAGAACAAAAGACAAATATTCTGTCAAACAATCAAACAGTCAAACACAGACAAAAGATAAAGACAAAGATCTATGTGTATACAAGTCACCCTGTAACAATAACACAACAATTTAGGACACAAATCTACCATAAGGATATGTACTAAAATAAGCAAAAATTATCAAATAAATTATTAGATATACAAATAATCATCCATGCTACTAACCAATCAAACGCCTATTATCTAACCGAGGAAGGAAAAAAAACGATAAAGACACACAAACCTGTTCGTCGATAAGAAGCACTCTGTATTATAGTTGAATCCGCGACTACGAACCCTCGAAAGACTCAGAATCGTCCTACCTCGAGCAGGATTAGAAAGATAAATTTGCTCAGATATCCTTGAATGATATTGCCTCCCAAACCCACAGTTTTCTTTTAGAAATCGGAGGAAGATAAAGAGTCTCAAACTAAACAAAAGAACTGTATACCAAGCGCATATACGGTGGATATTGGGCTAAGCAGTCAAATATATATATATATATATATATATATATATATATATATATATAATAAACAAAGTCATTTCCTAGTAATTATATAATACATATAAATAGCATCCACAAAAGAGTTCATAACGTTACGAATATCATGTTATACATAAACGAAAATCATAACATGATTAGATTACAATAATAAAAATAATTTTAATCATCATTTAAATTATACGATAGATATGGCCGAGACAGATTTTAGAAGCAAGACTAATCACAATTAAATTTAAAATAAAATACCAAGAAAAAAACAATAAATAAAAATAGAAATAAATTCAAATAAACTAACTATTCATTATTAGAATCTTCAAAGTCAGGTTCTGATCCAACATCAGACGGTTTGATCAATACCAAACAGCGAACGGTAGATAACTAATATATAGGCTTTGACAGATATATAAATTACACACCACCAACCTCATTCAAAATATTC